CCTGCTGAATTTCAGAAGGGGTTGATCCCTATCCTCATGTACTCCGGATTTTTACGCTACTCCGACCTGGTTGCCATCCAGTGGCAAGACATCCAATTCGACGACGAAGTCATGTGGATCCTCATCCCACACTCCAAAACGGACCAGGCTGGTCGTGGAACTTGGATCCCCATCGCAGCAACGACGGACCCCTGTTGCCCAGTGCGCTGCACCCAACGCTTCATCCAACTCGCAGGCTATGGCCCGCATTCAGAAGGGTCGCTGATTCGCGTTTTTGGCCATGCTCCCGCCGACAAGGGCCAGGCCAAGCCACCCTCGTACACAACGATCCGGAACTGGTGTAAAGAAGCATTCGCAAAAGTTGGACTTGGGGAGCAGCAGCTCGGCACGCACTCCTTCCGAAAGGGCGCGGCAACCGTAGCAGCCAACATCGGCGTTCCGGACAGGATCTTCAAAAGGATGGGCAGGTGGCGAAGTGACACAGCCAGAGAGATGTACGTGACACCATACGTCGGACATCTTATCAAGGCATCCCGCGACCTACAGGACCCGACATACGCACTGCCCCCAGAACAGCACGCGGAGGCACTCTTACGCAACCGGAAGCCACCACTGCCCATGTCTCAGAGGCCCCAGTTGCAATGAGAACGATGCCAAATTATAAGGACAAGAAAGCAAGCTTTCTCAATATTATAATTTTTAAACACATTGATGTTTTCAAAATTGTGTATTGTGAAAGCGAAGCTGCCTGTACCGAATATTTGGCAGCGTCGAAGCGCGCTAAACGCCCTTCTCCAACTACAAAAACCGTGGGTTGGAGTTCATTCCCTCCACCCACGTTTCTCGTTTTTCAACGGCTCAATCAACATCCCCACCACCCACCCCGGACCAACTACAAGACCACTGCTGCTTGGACGGACGACTCTATACCGTCAGCCCCCGGATAGAAGCGCCCCTGGGGTTGTAATAAAACACTGTTTTTTAGGGGGTGCGCTTATAATTGAGGATTTTTATAAGCGCCGGCGCCTATAAAATGGCAAATGTGAAATATGTTTTTTTTACATGTAACTGAAGCTGTTTCAAAAGGGGATTCTATCAACATCCAGAATGTTCGTACCCGTGCATGAAAAACGCGTCAAATGGCCAACAAGGCGTGGCATCACTGCCGCCACGCCTTGTTGGCCTGGCCAGATTCATCGTACCGTACATGAATCTCGCGCATGCCAGCGCACACGCTGTGTAGTGTGGGACTGCCCAATCAGGGTCGATGGCCGTGCCAACCACGACGCAGAACAACCACGAACCGGGCATATGCGGCAAGATTCCTTGCCAACAACGCCCACACCTCACCACATCAGTTCCTCTGCGGGGAGATCTTGACAGTGTAGTCCCTCTCCCTGCAGAGGAACTCGGGCCGCGAAGTTGGAGGGGTCTCGGGCGAGGGCTTGAAACAGGCTTCATTCTCACCGTTTTTTCCAGGTTTCTTGTTTCTCTCGGCCTGCCTCTGCCATGGCAGGCCTTCCCGGCACCCATTTTCTCTTTAACCGCCAAGGTCATGCTGCCAAGACTCCCGATTACACTCAATGGCAGAGTCGCCCAGCTCCCATACCTCCTGCTCCTCCTGCGCCTCCTGCTCCTCCTGCGCCTCCTGCTCCTCCAGCGCCTCCTGCTCCTCCCGCTCCTCCTAACGTCGTCATCAACGGTGTGCCCGTTCTGCAGCTTCTCCCTCGCGGCTACTCTGCTTTCGACGCGTACGTCTCCGAGCCCGAGCCCGAGCCCGAGCCCGAGCGCAGCGACGAAGATGAAACCGGTCCCGGTCTTTCGCCACGCTGGGGAGACCCGGAAGACTGCCCGCACGACGAATCTGCCACCGGTGCCGAAGACGACGTTGAGTGGTGGGCGGCCGACGGTCTTCCCGAGGACTTGCCTGTCCCAAGTTTTCCCCCGCCCAATAAAAAAAGGCCCCACCCCTCCACCCAGAATCGTGATGCTCGCCCCCCGTCTCCCAGGAGCAGGCGCTCAAGGCACAAGCACCACTCCTATACTTCTCAGGAGAAGCTGCACTGGATTTCACAGTTGGAGTCCGGTGCTGTGAGTGTGCGGAAGATGGCGCGCGACACTGGTATCTCCCGAAAGTCCCTGGCAGAGTGGAAATCGCAGAAGGAAAAGCTGGAGGGCGCGCATGGGGCTCGCAAGCGTCTTCACGGGCGTGGTCGGTCGTCGTGGTACCGCGACATGGAGATCCAGGTGTACTCACGAGTACTTGCCGCCCGAAAAAAGTGCCTCGCAGTGTCGGTCGGCCGCCTGCAGCAGTGGTCGCGAGAGGTGATGAAGAGCCTGCATCCTGAGGTAAAGTGGGCGGGATCTCAGAGGTGGACCGAGCGTTTTAGGCGTCGCTGGAATCTCACTACCCGATCGAAGACCCGTGTCGGCCAGAAACTTTCCTCCGGTGAGTCTGTTGTTGTCGTCGCTCATGTTTATCCCTGTTGCTCTTCCCGTTCGATGTGCTAATGTATTTTATCGTTTCTGCCTCCCCGTCCCTTCCAGAGTGCGAGACGCAGGTGCGGAACTTCTGGAAGTTCGTGCGACACACCCGCCGACAGTACGGCATTGACAACCGCTGGATCATTAATGCGGATCAGACCCCGCTCTGGCTCGAAATGCCAGCTGAACGCACGGTCGAGGAGGTGGGGGTCCGCTCCGTGCGCATCCGCAGCGGCGGCTATCAAAAGGAACGCGTGACGGTGATGCTCGCCTGCACCGCCAACAGCGAGAAGCTCAAGCCTTGGGTGTTTTTTAAGCGCAAGACAGTTCCAAAGGGGAATTTCCCCTCCGGTAAGCCGAGCAGCTTGTGCAGTCCCGGTAGGATTTGCAAGTGTTGTTTTTTTTTGCAACTGACGCCATTCTCAATGTTGTGCGGATGTGCAGATGTCGTGGTCGCCGCACATCCCAACGGGTGGATGGACGCGGACGGCGTCCTCGCGTGGCTCGACGCTACAGTGGGCCCGTACGTCAACCCGAGGTTCGGAGTGCGCAGCAGGAGGGCGATGCTGGTGCTTGACTCCTACCGCGGGCACCTGACTGATCAAGTGAGGGCGAAATTCGGCGAGCTGCGTATCGTGCCGGCCATCATACCAGCTGGCTGCACATCGGAGGTGCAGCCCCTAGACGTCGCGGTGAACCGCTCCTTCAAAGCAGCTGTGCGACAGCAGTACCAGGCATGGTTCGAAAGCGAGGGCGTTGACTGCCTGACTGAAAGAGGTGAGATTTAATTTCTAGGCCTGAGTGTTTTTAAAATATTGACCCTGTTCTAACTGATGGATCTTTCTACGTGTGGCAGGCAACATCCGCAAGCCACCACCAGAGCTGACGCTCAAGTGGATCTCCAAGGCCTGGAAGTCGGTGCCCAAGGAGTTGATCGAGCGCTCGTTTCTCACCTGCGGCATCAGTAACGCGTTGGACGGGTCTCAGGACAGTCTCTGCCTGCAGCACCGGCGGGACGCCGTCAAGGGCGAAGTGGAACTTGACGACGAGATTGCAGCAGATGGATTCTGCTGCAACAACGTAGACGAGCCAGAGTCGGATGGCGAGACCACCCAGGAAGGCACCGCCACTGCTCAGGAGGATGTCTAGGTTGTGTAGGTAGAGTAGATATTTAGCATGATTTTAAAATGTGGTAGAATATGCAGAAAATGCGAAACTTGGTAGCATATCTTGAGAAATTGTAGAATAGCATAAGGATAGCAATTAGAATTACTTAAAATTATAATTGCAACTTCTAAAAAGGTGGCGCTTATAATGTGTACTGCATTAGGGGTGCGCTTATAATCCGTAAGGCTCCAAGGGTGCGCTTATAATCGAGGAGCGGATATAAGCGCCCTCATCCTTTTATAAGCGCCGGCGCTTATCCGAGGCCTGCGCTTCTATCCGGGGGCTTACGGTAGCTAGTAATATTTGTATGTACTAGCATGTGTTTAAGAACGTTGCATATGTTGTAATAAGCCAGTTGCAATGAGAACGATGCCCCATTATAAGGACAAGAAAGCAAGCTTTCTCAATATACACCATAACAAGGAAACCACACAAATGTCTAAATGAGTGTCAGGGTGATAAAGAGTAAAATGGACCTAATCTGACCTGCACATTACAGGCTGAGATAGTCACACATACCCTACGATCAAACAAGAAGAATTCGAATACAGGAAAATGAATCAGCCTAGGCAATAACTACCCCTCCACACAACCCAATGAATTTTGGTGGTGGTACCAACGATAGCACCCGATGCTGCCACTACTGCCATCATCACCATCAGCACCACCACCACCACTACCACCACCACCCACCACCTTAGCTGATGCTGTATATGCACCGGTACAGTTACAAGCTGAATCAGCTGTACATAAAATGCTGACTGCTCCTCAAGGGAAGCACCATACCGGTGTGTATGAACGACCATACAGGTGACTGCACAGGGGGATGCTCGAGGCACGGACCTGCGGTCTGCATGTGTACATACCGTACCATCTTAAAGAAGTAGTTGGATGGGGCAGATGGTAGGTGTAGGTGAAGTTTCGGTGCTTGACGGTTGGATGGATGGGAGGGAGGACGGTCATGGCATGGACGGCTGGATGACAAGGAAAAGGATGAGCGACGGTGGATATGGTGGTGGTGGAAACGATGGCAGAGATGGCGGAAATGGCAGGAGTGGCGGAGACGGCGCGGAGTGGTGGAAATGGCAGGGATGGCGGAGATGGCGGGGATGGCGGGGATGGCACGGGGTGGTGGGGATGGCGGGGACGGCGGGGGGCGGAGATAGCGGGGATGGCGGGGATGGAGCGGGTTGGAATTGAAGGGGGTGGTGGTGGTGATGGCGGAACGGCGGATTGATCGGTTGCGACGCGAGACATTCACTGAATGAAACTGTAACTGGGAGAGTCAGTCACGATAAGCAGCAGCAGCAGGAGCACGCGAACAACAACAGTAGTACACCCCATCCGCGTTACTGCGACAGCATGTCGTACAGCATGAGGGTAATTCCGAACTGCGGGCTCATACGCAGCACGCGCGCAATCCCACCCTTGAACAGCGCGCCGAGCCCTTCCTCCTCCACAATCTCCTTCACGCACACCCACGCGTTAGGATACGCCTCCTTCCCCTCCTCGGGCTCCATCTGCATGCGCGTTTTAACTACGTCCATCGGCGTCACGAGGTACGCGGCGGGGACCGCGGCGAGGCACCCGTCGACGAACGTCTGGTCCGGCATCACCTGCTTCAGCGCCGCGTAGCACGCGAAGAAGAGCGCGGTCGACGGCACGTCGCGCGCTAGAGTCACGCTCGAGCCGCTGTACAGCCCGCGAATACCCAGCTCCTGCACCACCTGCCACGAAGTCTTCCCCTGCTGCTGCTGCTGCGGCTCCGCTACTACCGCTCCGCTAGCGCCGGCAACGGCGCCGGCGCCGGCGGCGGCGGAGGCGGAAGCAAGAGCGCCCTCCGCTTCCGAATCACTCGACGACCCTGCCGCGAGCTTTTTCCGCGCCTGCATGCGAACTTTGACGATTTCCACGGGGTTCGTGAACACCACTTGGCAGAACCCGCCGCCGCCGCCCGCGATGATCTCGAGAACCCACAGACGCGCTCCGGGGACGGCCGACTCGAGCAGAGCCAGAAGCACCTCGTTAACGGTCAGTTTAATCGCCTTTTCCGGCGCGATTCCGACTAGCTGCGCGCCGAGTCCGCTGTACAGAGCCGCGGGGCCCTCTTCGCGGACCATGCGGATAAAGCAGTCCCACTCATCGCGGTACTGTACTTGCGTCGCTGACGGTGACGGTGACGTTAACGTTGACGAGCCGCTCGCCGCCGCGCTAAGCGCTTGCGATCCGGCCGCGGAGTGGAAATGGGCGCCGTTCGCGTCGCCTTGCCCCGAGTCGTCAGAATCCGATTCTGACTCTTTAATCTTGCGCTGCGCCTGCATGCGCGTCTTGATAGTGTCTAGAGGGTACACAGCCGCCGCTCCCACCGCGCCCGCCACGCCGCCCACGCCGAAATGCTGCAGCGATTGGCCCATAATGGCAGCGAGTTTCGCCGAAAGACCTGCGGGGAGAACAGAGCGTGAAAGGGGAACGAGCGAGCGGGGGGGAGAGGTTAAAGAAAGTCTGGAGGAGGGCGCGCAAGCAGCGCAAACGGCGCAGAAAGTGAGGGGCCAAACGGGGAAGGAAAGAAGGTGCGGGGAGGATGGAAACGGACGCGAAGCACTCAGGGGTGTCAGAGTCGCAAAACGATTGTTACATGTTACAAGAGACGCTTACCTCCAGACGAGTTGGCGATGGCAGCAGCGGCGGCGCTTTCCAAGGTGAGGCTCGCCGCCGCAGCTCCCGCGAAGGACACCTCAGTTGCGGCGATAGGGCCGCCCGTCGCCACTCCGCCCATGGCGGCGGAAGCCGCCGCCGCGCCCCCCCCGACCGGCCCCATGACACTGCGGGCTCCGCCACGATCGATCCGCTGCTACTGCGCATTCCGCTTCCGCTTCCGCCGTCGCTGCTTCCGCCGCTCACGCTCCCGCTAGGCGAGAGGGATAGCGGCACCATGACGTCAGCTGGAAAGTCCGCGGCGCAGTCGGCCCAGGTGACGGAGCGCGAGCGACTCGGCGAAGAGGACGAGTCGGGACCTGGAATGCCCTGCTTCACGGGCGACAGAACCGCATCGCACATTCGCTCCTCCGCATTCCTCAGCCTATCCTGTTCTTCCAGCTGTCGCATTAACATTGCCTTAGCCTCCTCCTGCGCCTCGGGCGAGACCACTCGACCCGAAGATCCCGCGGAGGTCAGTGACACCTGGCGCGTCAAAGCCGCAGGAGTGGAGGGTGCTGACGTGGCGAGAGCGGGAGCGGGGGGGATGGACTCTAGTTGCGAAATAAAATCGTCAGCAAGTAGACCGGATTTCTCGGCGCTGTTTGTCGTTGAAACGGCGACCTGATATTCTGACGGCGGAACGGGCGGGGGAAGTTGGTCCAGCGCAAGCGCCGCGCCTGGCGCGCAGCAACCCGCGGAAAGCGCAAACGCGGTGGACACCGCAACAGCGGCGGATGCTTTTCTTAGGTCCGAAAGAACCTGCGCGCTGCGCTCGTTAAGCTGCGGTGCGTTGGAAAACGACTGCGCGTCTTTATCGGAACGCAAAATGCTTGTCGGCGTCGCGGACGCTGCAAGTGCGACTTGATCGGGCGACGCGGAGGCCGCCCGTGAGGCTTGAGGAAACGGGGAGATTTGGGGGAGCATGGCACGCGGATGCGTGGAAAGAGCAGCCGGCGCAGCCCCCGCGGTGGTGGCGCGCGGAAGCGACACGTGGTGGAAGGAGTGCAGAGGCGAGGGGAAGAGCGAGGAGGCGGCATTGTGCGAAGCAGAGGATATGGCTTGAGAGGGAGTAAGCACGTGGCGAAGACTAGAGGAGATGGTGGAGGAAGGTAGTAGACGACCGGATGGAATAGATCCCGCTAATGGAGTACCACCAGCGACGGTGTCGGATGATATAGTAGCGGGGATGAGGTTGAGTATACTTGAGTGCGAGAGCGCCATGGCTGGAGACGAGTGGGAGAGAGTCACAGAGAGAGGTGGCTCTTTGAGACTAAAATGATTGGCCTATTCGGAACGGGTTGGATCAGACGGAAGGAGAGGAAGTATAAGATCCGTGCTGCGACTGACAGATTTTTACTGGGGTGGACGAGAGCTCACGCGAGGAACTTATAGGCCCCGACGATAAACGCGTACACCACGAAAAGGCACGATGAGTCTTCCGGCTGAGAGAGGCCACTAGACGCGACGTGCTTTAGTCGGTGAGGGTTCAGCTGAGATAGCTGAGGAAGGTTTGCCAGTCAGATGCAGCACCTCGTCGAATAAACGTCAATATGAGAAATGACGCTTTCTAATCCAAGCTTGGGTTGACGCCAAGGTGAAAGAGGGATTGTGGTGGTTGGTGTGCTGCAGCGCCAGCAACGGCGAAATTCCAGCTTAGATCCTCTCAGGCACGGCGTAGTGAGAAATGAAGATGAGGTAAGCGAAAAGGGCCGAGCATGGAGGAAAAAGAGGGGGCGGAATGAGTTAGTGCGAGTCACGCAGTTGAGAAAGGGAGAGGAAGGTCGTCGCAATGTAGTCGCGTGCGACGGCGTGAAGGAGCGGCGACTGGACAGGGACCCCCTGCGGCGGAGGTTCGAATCGCACGACGTTTCGAGCGACGGAATTGGCACGGACTTCCAGGTCGAAATTGCGGGATTACAAGTCAGAGTGCTGCCGAAGCACAAATGTGTTGAGATTGGGCCAATGGCGTTGCAGAAAAGCTTGCAAATGATGATAGATGGGGAAATGGACGAATGTTGTTGACGAAACGTTGCGACCAGGCGGGAGGATGCAAGCGATTCGCCTTCAACGCGCATCGCCAATCAGAACCATAACTTTGAATTCGGCAAGCATGGGATTCGCGAGATCGAGGGCTGAGTGACGGCAGCTGACGGCCGCCTTGTGTGCCAAACTGCGAGTACAACGGGCAGCCTGAAAGTGAACTTTCTGTGGTGGGTTTGGGAAAAGGGGGTCGCGGTGAGTAGTTGGGCAGCTCAAAGGAAAACATCAGCGACTCGATCTCACTTTCACAGATGCGAGGAGGGTGGCACGCGCAGACTTCGTCGCACCAAGATTGCGGGATCAGCGCCCCAAAGGAGAGCCGACTGGTTACAAAATGGCAGGCGATGAACTGTTGCGATGTAGACGTGGCAGTTGCGTCATATTCGCCGCAATCAGGGGGAACCACTGCTCGCACTGCCTCCTGCTGTGCTGTCCAGGTGAATGTGATGGCCTCCACGTAAATTGGCAAAGTGCACATCCACGGGTGTAAGCGCGCCACTGCCGTGCTGTGTCCGCTCATGTTTCCCACGTTATATCCTCCCAAGATCTGTCCGCAAGATGCGGCTGTCACCTACGCGTCCTTGGGAAGACCCATGGCTGTAGGTGTCAACGAACTGAGCCACGACCACCATCATGAGGTCACTGGTGGCATCACAAATATTTCCCGCCAGTTCTTAGTCAGCCAGGCGTGTCTATCCTCCCCACGGAGAGACACGTGGCCAGTCAAGGGCATGCTGTCAGAGACACGCTTGAGGATCCAATACCCGCTGACGCTACGTCAGCAATTTATGCAACACAAAAATACCCGAGTCAGCCATTCAAAAGATCCCAACAATTGTACGCAGATCCCAACAATTGCATTCCACCATCTACACCTTCTACTACACCCTACTGACAGCCTGTTATGGGTATGGCTTAGCAACTATTTTGTTAATTTCAGTCCCTTGAGAATATGGGCCCATGGCCCTGAGGGCGCGTCACCTCTCAACCAGTCGGCCAAAATTCGAACGCTGTCATTATTTTTCGGTGCCCGAACAGCACAATTCCGATGTTCGAACAAGATTTGAGAATCTGGTGAAAGGTGACGGTGTGTCACATGAAGTGACAGGTGTGTTCGAAAATGCGACGTCGCCTATCGTGCGACGTCGCACAACCGTCGTCAAAAGGTTTTGATTGCATAACGAACATCAAAAGGCAGTCGTAAGATACCTGGAAATTTCTTCGTGCTGTTCGTGGGCGTCGCATGTGCTCATCCCGAATTACATTCGAACGGACACATTCGAACAACAAGCGCGAAATCCTTCGTGCTGGATGTGACAGCTCTGTTCGATTTAGCGACGTTTCTATTTGCGAACTGACGAAGACTCGACGAATTTCGTGCGGAAATTGACGAAGTGTGTAACACGCCGCATGTTCGAACAAAGGGGTTTGTTCGAATTTAGAGGTGACGCGCCCTGAGTCTCACAAAACGTGAGTGCAATGGAGGTGTAAAACATTTGGCGAAGAAGCGCAAATGGTAGCATCTTACATTGTGACAATAGAAATACAAGCATGAAATACAAGTTAATTTAATGTAACACTAACACAAGCTTTCATGGATGTAAGCGGCTTCCAGCGACATGAGCTGCCTCCAGTTCAGTTCAATGTGGAACATACGGTAGCCGTGTGATTCGATCTTGTGAAGAAACCTCGTTAGACGATCAGCATTTGATCGGTCTAAATCATGAATCTCAATCAAAAGCTGCAGAACAAGAAAGTGCGCAAGGAAAACAAAGGTGTGTCTGAGCTTGTCAGTTCAGAGGAAGCACATGATATATGGGGGAAAGAACAAAGCAGAGAGTTAGGATGAGGGAACTGCAGGGGTGGTGAGTGGTGACAGGCAAAAATCCTCAATTCAATAGCTGAAAGTCCGACCCCGATCACCTGAGATGTACGAGATGCATAAAATACATGATTGTGCGCGTGCTTGGGTGCTGTGTGCGCAGTGCTGTGCGTTTGCATGTACATGCGCGCATGTGCTCGTGAATGATAGAGCGAGTGACCGTGCATACATGCACACACACCAATGTCCTTGTCCTCTTCCATTACTCTCTAAGCAGCAGTGCAGCACCTGTCCAAAGGGTGGTGTGGTGTAGCCATCAAGGATTGATGGAATGACCTCGTATTCACAGCTCTCGCAATCCACCTTGAAAATGTCCACAAAGGAGTGGCCTAGCATCGATGTCAGGTCCTGATGACGCACAGGGAAGCACAGGGAAGCACAGGGAAGCACAGAGAGGCTGACCCTGACATGTATCTTCAAAGGATTGACGGAATGATGTTGTATTCGTAGATCTCACAACAAGGCGAATAGCAGGCAGAGAAGCAAAAGGGCCTCATCATATGGCACATGGCACAGCAGCAAGGTCAAGAATACGAAGTCATGGCGTGTGAAACAATGGCATGGCGAGTGGGAATCAGGTATGGTGAGGTGAGAATGAGGCATGGTGTAAGTCAACATTGTAAGACAACATCTTGCAGCGAATCCCCTTATCACCAGTACCATGCAACGAATAACCTTGTAACGAGTCACCTGGCAATGAATAACATTGTAATGAATCACCTTGCAACGAGTCACCTTGTAACGAGTCACACCTTGAAGCTGCTGAGAGAAGCAGACTCGTTGGAGGAGACAGCGAGGCCGATGGGGTGAAACTTATATGCCTTCTTGTGCTCCACCTTGGCCTGGCAGTATGGCATGGGGCATGTGAGGGGGCGTGTAAGTGACTTGTGAGGCGCCTCAAAAGCCGATGGGGTGGAACTTGTATGCCTTCTTGCGTTCCACCTTGGCCTGGCATCATTGCACGGGGCACGTGGGGGGAACGTGCAGTGTAAGTCACTAGAGAGGCGACTCAAAAGCGGATCGGGTGGAACTTGTATGCCTTCTTGCGGTCCAGCTTGGCCTGGTGACACGGGACATATGGGCAGGTGTGTAGGGTTTCTGAGGTGCCTCAAAAAGCGAAGCCGATGGGGTGGAATTTGTATGCCTTCTTGCGCTCCACTTTGGCCTGGCGATACAGGGCATGTGAGGGGGTATGGGGGCATGTGAGGTGATACGGGGCACGTGGGCAGGCGTGTAGGGTTTCTGAGGTGCCTCAAAATGCAAGGCACATGTGGTGGAATGGAGCTTGTATGCCATCTTGCGCTCCACCTTGGCCTGGCGCGGTATGGTATGGGGCATGTGGGGGGACGCGTAAGGCGGTTATTTAGGCAATCAAAAGGTGGAAGGAACTTGTATGCCTTCTTGCGCTCCCAAATAACCTGGCATTCCGGGGCAATTAGGTGGGAGGGGACGAGGTGAGAGGTGCTGGTTGGTTCAGGGAAGTTCTTTGTGTGAATCAGGGCGGTTCAGAGCGGTTAAAGGGCGAACCAGGGCGATTCAGAGCGGTTAAAGGGCGAACCAGGGCAATTCAGAGCGGTTTAAGGGCGAACCAGGGCAATTCAGAGCGGTTAAAGGGCGAACCAGGGCAATTCAGAGCGGTTTAAGGGCGAACCAGGGCAATTCAGAGCGGTTTAAGGGCGAACCAGGGCAATTCAGAGCGGTTTAAGGGCGAACCAGGGCGATTCAGAGGGAAAATGCAAGAAAACAACAGTGCAGCTTCTTACGGGACGTCAGCGTGTGTGTGGTCAAAGACATGTATTCCCGACTTGAAGCAGGCAGGGGGAGGGAGGGAGGTGAAAGAAGCTAATTCGGGCCGGGGCGGTTTCGGGGGAAGGTAAGAGAAAGAGCAGCACCTTCTTGCGCGGAGTGAGCGTGTGGTCAAAGACATGTATTTGCGACTTAAAGCGGCCGTAAATCTCCTCCTCAAACGAGTCCTTGCCGTCTGAGCCTATGCTGGTGTGGGGAATGAGGGGGGAGGAGGAACGAGGGTGCAGTGCAGGCACGAGAGAGGAAGAGAGGCGGTTGAGGCGTATCATAAGCATGTGACTTGAAGCGGCTGTGAGTCTCCTCCTCAAACGAGTCCTTGCCGTCTGAGCCTATGCTGGTGTGGGGAGACAATGTTGGCAGGAGAGAGGACAGGCACGGACGAGAGGGGCAGGCATGAAAAAGAGGGAGGGAGAGGTTGAGAGGAAATTCGGGAGAGAAATTTCTGAGAGTGCCAAAAGTGTGTGCGAAATCAAGCAGTGTAAATCTCCTCCTCGAATGAGTCCTCGACGTCTGACCCTATGCTGGTGTGGGGTGGGGAAACAAGAGAATGGTCTCATTTGAAAGAGAGCGAGAGGAGAGAGGGCGGGCACAAATGAGAGAGGGAAAGGGGAGGAGAAGGGCGAGGGGGAAAGGGGAGCGGGGTGAGGGGAGAGGGGGGGAGAGGGGAACAAACACTCGTGACGAAAACAGCCAAGACACTCGACAACCAAACAGAAAGGGTACCAGAACTGAACAAGTCAGAAAGGGTTCACTGACAAGGTAATCTCAGGTATCACATCATACCTTGTTCCGTTCTGGTACCTCTGTTGATTATCATACAGGTATTGTGAGAGCGACCTGCATAAATGCATGCATAACAGAGGTGCATAGACAGTGATCACCTGTAGACGACCGAGGAGGCGTTGAGGAGAGAGGGACGGCACACCCACTTGCCCCCATCCAGCCACGTGCCAAGACGCTCCTCCATGAGGCAGGGGTATGCCGGAGCAAACACCTGATGGTGGGGGTGGGGGTGCAGTGTGGTGGAGTGGGATGGAAGAGACTCTCGGGTCGAGGAAACTACTGAGCCACGTGCCAAGACGCTCCTCCATCAGACACGGGTATTCTGGGGCAAAGACCTGTTGGCGGGGTGAAGGTGGGGGTGGGGGGTGGGGGTGGGGTTGGGGGTGGGGGCAGGGCAGATGGGTTGACTTCCCTGCCACATGAAGATGAGCCGCGAACAGGAGAATGAGCCAAGGCTCGTGCCAAGTTATGTCACGTGCGGGCTGTAATCAGTCCCATACTGCACAGAACGTGATAAATGAAATCATCTAACCTTTTGACACAGAAAGAAGAATTACATCCCTGCACAAGACTCTGCTATATCCTGAGCGAGTTATTTAGGACTTTCGGGAGTCAATGCTGTACAGACTGCACTGCATCACACTGCACCGCACTGTGCTGCACAGCGCCTCACCGCACCGCACCTCAAACATGAATGCGGCTCGGGCTTTGTAAGGCCGTCCTTCAGTCATCTTGAACCAGTCCATAACGAACTTAACCGGATCCTGCCATGGGGACAGCGGGGAAAACAGGGTTGAGCGCGGGAAGGACAGGGTTGGTTGAAAAGTAGAGGATTAGTCAATGCTGTACAGTACAGGTTTCCACCGCATGCACCGCACCGCACCGCACTGCACAGCACCTCGAGCACGAATGTGGCTCGTAGAGCCGTCCCTCGGTCATCTTGAACCAGTCCATAACGAACTTAACCGGATCCTGCAATGGGGACAGCGGGAAAAGCAGGGTTGATCGAGGATAAGGAAGGTTTAAGCATTTTAATGATAAAGTTGTGCATCTTAACGGGGTCCTGACCTCTCTATCTTTGACCAGTTCCGCGCGTTACCGATGAAGTCAGGAGAAAGCACACTGCTTACGGCGGGTGAGGTGATTAAACTGTCACCTGTGGTGGAAAGCTAGGAACGCAAGATACATGTGCAATCAGATAAGTAGTTATCTTTTCATGCCTCACAAAGTTAATCAGAAGATTAGTTATATTTTCATGTTGTATCCACCCGCTCACCCACCCACCCACCCACCCACCCACCCACCCACCCACCCACCCACCCACCCACCCACCCACCCACCCACACGCACACCCATCCACACACCCACCAACCACCCCTACACTGTTTTTATCCACCCTTCCATGCACCCGACCATTCGTTGCAAGCATGCCGCCTGGGTACCTGAACAAGTAATTACCTGGTTTCCAGTTCGTTTGGTTACTCCATTAACCAAACAGCTGGTGCTTTAGTTTAGATAGAGTTTTCTGGTCATATAATCTGGTTACCTGATGAGCTGGTTACATGTTATTCTGTGCTATGCTACTACCCCAGTGAGCTCTCAGACCCACTCACTCGGTGCCACGTGGACACACCTTGCCAACCGCAGCGTTTCTTCGGCCGACGTTGACTTGATACTGCTGCTCGGACCACTGCAACAGCTGCCAGGAGCAGGATGAGGGGGAGAAAGACGAGAGAAAGGGGATGGTATTGGGAGGGAAAGGGAGAGAGGGTGAGGGGGATGAGGGACATGACGTTGATTAAATACTGCTGCTCGGACCACTACAACAGCTGCCAGGAGCAGGATGAGGGGGAGAGAGAGGGAGGGAGAGAGAGGATAAAGAGAGAAAGGAGGGAAAAGAGGGTGGGATGAACTCACTCTGCGAACTGTAAAGAGGGTGGGGTGAAGAGAGGAGCACGAGAACGAGGGTGGAGTGGAGGGGTCGGAAAGTGTCTCCTAAACGCCTCGCAATTTGATTCGACGAGGTGCGGTTGGGAATTGTGAAGTTGGGAATTGTGCGGTTCTTTTAGGCGATCCCAAAACTCGTTTCTCTAAGGCGCATCAAGGGTTGGAAGCGGTGCGCATGGGAATTGTGCGAGCGATGGTAAGTGGTCCGCCTGAGAAGAAAGGGAGTGGAGAGAGGATAAAAAGGAAGAGAAGAGAGGATCAAAGAGGAGAGTATAGGAGGTGATAGGAGAGGAAGGGAGGTCAGCGCTGGCGATTGGCGCTAAATCTGTCTTTTAGACAACAGTCGACACCAAAGTTAGGTGTTCTTTTGGTTCCAAAGCACCTCTTTACTCCCCGCGTTTAGCGGCGCCGATGTCGCGCAAGCTTGCTCCGCTCCTTCCGCCGCTTCCGACAAAAGCTCTCGGTTCCCTTCTCCCGCCATCACTTGCGGAGAATCTAGCGCGCCGAGCGCATGGTGAACGTTCGATGGGGCCGCGCGGTTATCTCCGCCGTCCGATCGCAGGTGGAGGAGGAGGAGCAGCGCGACGCCGCATAGATTGGCTGCGAGGAGGACGGAGTGGAGCGAGGAGGTTGCGCGCGCCGCCGCCGCCGCCGACGACGACGCTACGGGGCGCATTGTTAAAATATGCTGCGGATCTTTGAAACGACTCGGTGCGTTAGTCACTAATAAAAAACGGATTTTTATTTACGTGGGTCGATCTGTTTTGGCGATGCTGGAGCGGGTGGAATGCAAAATGCTGGTGTGGGGGGGGAGGGAGGGAGATCGAAGGGTGAGTTGAGGGGGGGAATGGTGTCTGCTTATCTACTAGGGGGGAGTTGGGGGAGGGGATTCTCGCGGAGAGTGCCGACCGTTACAGCCAATCAGAGCGATTCAGGGCAGCATTAGCTTACTGTACTGACCTGTACTTCCGCCAGATTCGAGCTTCCACGTGGGTTGGTGATAAGTGACGGTGGCCCGAGGAATGGATTGGATTGGAACCACGAAGCTTGGAACCAAAGAATTCAAGGCCACACAGCACCCAGGTGCTTTTTTCCTGAAGGGAAACGGTCAAAGCGTTACTCTCGTTACTAGCATGCACCTTAGCAGATTACAACATCAGAAAACATAAGTGAAATGCATCCTTAAAAAAGTAGTATTATTTCATGATTCCCTTGTCAATTACACTGTACGCGTACGACTCCAACTTTTGGAAGTCCAGGTTTTCTCCGAATACCTAGCCTGCCGAACATAACCCGCATAACCAACCTCATCACCTCCAACCTCATCAGCTCAAGGTTCCTGCTATGCTTATCATTTGGTGAGTAGTAGTGATAGATTAGATATTGACTTCTTTCCATCTGACAAACTACAATTTTCAATGCGGTGGTGTAAGATATGTTTAGTCTGAAGAGTGGCTCATAATAATTCTAGAACGTTAGGGTAGGGTCGTCGGCAGGAAACGAACGCCCCATTGCCCACTGACAGAAGCAATGGAATTCTTGGTCTTCCCTGGCAGAGCAGAATCCCGCCCAAAGGTTCCGCCACTCCGGTTGCGCGGTTCTGTACTATCACCTTCCCGCCTCTCGGCGGTAGCGGTTCGGAGAAGTCACTCTGCGTTCTTCCACCTAGACCCAGAACCAGGAAACGTCGAAGTTCATTTGGTACGGTTCTCAAATGTTTATCTACGTTCCAAAGCGCTTTTGCCACATACAAAAGCGGTCCAAAGGTTTTCAGCACATCGAACACCAGGGCTGATTTTCACCACATCCACGCGTGAATGGGAGCCCAGCGAAGGCGCAGCTTCCGCGCGCGTGTTCCATGCGGGTTCCGTTCCGCCGTGGCCAAATTCGCTGGGGCCTTGCTCTGCTGAGAGCACTTTCAAAATGCCCGTGCGCACGAGCCCTAGGGAACACATTTTGCTCAGCTTGCTGCTGCTGGCTGCTGTGCTCCTTGCTGCCTTCAAAAAGATCAGGTTCAGTTCAATTATCGAGCGCCTTGGGATTGGTCTGTTTTGCTGCATGCGAGCCCTGATGCAGCAGCAACCATGGCTGCGATTTCCGGTTTCGTCAATAAATTCTCAGGCTACTGTCTCTCAGGCTACTAATTCTGTTTCTTAGCTTGCGCATAGGCGTCCTCTCGGTCTCACTTAGGCTTAAACCTGTCGACAGCGTAATATCTTCCACTTTGTAGTGTTTTCCACCTAGCTGTTGTTCCCTCCTCCTCCTCCTAATTTTGTTAGTGTTAACCTCTTCACTTCCATTAGCACTTTCCGATCTCGTCACTTCTCCTGCTCCTCGTTAATCGGTTACTCACCAACTACGAATTTTCCTCGATTGACCTTGCTCGATGCGTCGAAGGAGCTAGTTTCCTAGAATTTCCTAAACCTCCAATCCGCTTCGTGCTCTTACATTTTGAGAGATTAGGCACCGGTTTTCTCCGTTAATCGCTTTTTTCATCGCCTTAACTGCGACCCACGTCCTTCACGGTTTATCTGGTGATTGCGGCGAAGATGGCTCGCAAGCCAGATCAAGTGGCCGTAATAAATGACATCACTAAGAAGTTGTCCGCGTCATCGTTGTCTAAAGACGTACTTATTAAGACCCTTAAGGTGAGAATCCCGCTTCGGCTTTGGGTTATTCCGCATTTTTGCATATGTTTCGTGCATCTCTCTGTATGTGTCTCGATTTCTCTTGCTTCGTATTCGGTGTCGTTCCCCACGTTTTTTTTTGAAGTCGATGTTCTATTTTTTGTAGCATCTCTGGTCCGTGGATTTTTGTCTGGGGGAACAGCAAAATAAGAATAAGCAAAACGTTTAGAGAACAGCATGTATTGGATATTCTCATGCTTATGCTAATGATTTTCTGATCACGTGCATCTCCTACCTTAACTAACAATGACCGTTTTTTAAGAAAAAAAAATCGAGGGTGTATAACCTGTCACGCCTTCCTGCGTGCCTTCGTTTGATAGGAGGCAGACTGCTTTAGGACATTCTGTTTTCTGCTGACCGCTGTTGATGAGTCGAGGCTGAAATATTCGGTTATCTAAATGTTAACTCGTGGTTCTTCTTCAGATCTTGCAGTTTATTTTCCAACCTTTCTTTTCCACGTCGCGCATTTCGTAAAGGAGCGTGACTGATGCTCTCCTTCTCTGCTCAGTTCTCAATGCATGTTGAGTGTGCTTGCTGATTCTAGGTGCTATATGAAAGCACGAGAGGTCTCAGACGTTTTACTCACGGCGCTTTTGGCAACCGCTATTGCCTTCTCTCATAAGTCATTCGTTCTTTTCCGCGGTCGCCCTGCGTCGCCCTTCCCTTCCCCGTTCTCCCCGCCCGCGCCCGCTCCTTCCTCCCCCTCCCCCCCCCCCCCCCCCTCCCCACACAGTCCGCGGCGAGCGTGCTGGAGGAGCTGCAGCAGTCCGCGTCAGAGCCGACGATGACGGCGCTGCGCCCGTTGGCGCAAGCGCTGGCGGCGCCCAACTTCATGCGCCACCGCGACCGCGACGTGCGCGTGCTGCTCGCGTTCTGCGTGAGCGAGGTGCTGCGCGTGTTCGCGCCTGACCCGCCATACGAGGACGCGCCGCTCAAGGTAACTGCTGCATTTATGAGGCGTTATATTTCTGTGTGGGCCATCTGAAAAAAACAGAAAGAAATAACATTGGGAAGCATGCCCCAAAAGGTGCTGTCCGTATTCGCGCCCGAACCTTCCGACGAGCACGCCCCGCTGCCGTTGGCGCTTGTGATTGGCTGCTGCCGGATCGCTCAGTATTGTGTCAGTATGTGACTGTGCTTGGCGTGGGTATGCGCGCGTAGGGTTCCGTTAGGTGTGATTGTGTGGGGGAAGGAAGGGGTAAGCGAGGAAATAATAACCATGGCATGGCGGCTAATTCTATGACCGCTCAGCGCGTCACCAGTTCTACCCTGGGTGTCCGTTCTTCTCCATACGCTGCCTGGATAATCGCTTTGCACGTCTTCGAAAGCATTTTGGATGTATTAATGTTACTTCGTCTGTGCACGTGTCAACATGCATCGCTGGTGTTGTGTGTCTGTGGCGTGGCACTATGCGTTTGACGTATATGTGGTGCTGGTATGCATATGCTTGCTTGGCCCCCGTTCATTCACATCCCCTGTCTCGTGCCACCTCGTTCTATTGATCAGCCATTCGCCCATAAACCCCTCTATACCCCGTCTCCCTGCAGAGCGTGTTTGAGCTGCTGGTGGGCACGTACGAGGGTTTAGAGGACACGATCAACGCGCTGTACCCGCGGCGGGTGGCGATTCTGGAGTCGATGGCGCGCGTGAAGACGTGCATCATCATGCTGGACCTCGAGTGCACCGACCTCATCCTGCACATGTTCGAGACCTTCTTCCGCGTCGTGCGGTGCGTGTGTGTGTGCGGGTTGGGTTGGGTTGGGTGGGTGAGTGTATGTGTGTGCGTGTGTGTGCGAGAGAGAAAAGAGGGATTGTCGACTCGCGAAGCACCTCGGGTGCACCGACCTCATCCTGCACATGTTTGAGACCTTCTTCTGTGTCGTGCGGTGTGTGTGGCTGTAGGATGGGTGTTCGTGTGTGTGTGTGTGTGTGTGTGTGTGTGTGTGTGTTGTGTGCGCGCGCGCGCGCGCGCGTGTGGGTGTGTTCGTGTGTGTGTGTGGTCGGGTGTGCGCGTGCGTAGCGCGCGCGCGCATGCGTGTGCGTGTGTGCGCTCGTGCGCGCATGAGTGAGTGTGTGTGTGTGTGTGTGTGTGTGTGTGTGTGTGGTGTGTGTTCGTGTATGCATCCATGCGTGTGCTTGTTCTGTGTGTGTGCTCGTGCGTGCTTGCCGTGTGGTGAGTGCGTGTGCGTGTGTACATGTTCGTGTGTGTGTGCATCTCTGTGTTGCCTGTGTGCGTGTGTACACCCACGCTGCTGGTCCCTTGTGCGTGCGGTGCTGCATTGACCGACCATGTGCGATTTCTTGTGTCGAGTCAGTCTCTCCTCCTTTCCTCTCTGCACGCTCATGTGCTTCTCCCCTTCCCCCTCTCCTCTGTGAGTGTGTGTGCATGTGTGTGTGTTGTGTGTGTGTGTGTGTGTGTGTGTGCATGCAGCCCTGAGCACGCCCTGCACGTGCAGATGGCGATGGTGGAGGTGATGGCGTCTGTGATTGACGAGAGTGAGGACGTCTCCCCACAGCTTCTAGACGCCATTATCTGCAACATGCTCTCTCCGGAAAAGGTACAACAACATATGTTTTTTTTTTTTGCTAGCTTTCTCTGTCTGTCTCCTCACTCCACTCCCCTCCACCTTTCCCCATCATTCCTCTCTTCCCGTTTCTCCCTCGCCCGTCATCCTATCCTCTGTACCCTACCCGTTCCTCTTTGAGAAGCAGCATATGCATTCTATAGTGACAGTATTTGCACTCAATCGTGACAGAGAGAGTGCAGCAGACTGTGCGATGCCTTTCTAGCAAAGAATACGCTGTTCACAAAAGCTGTTGTGTTCTGTGTCATCCCACCCATCCCAGGAGGCCTCTCCATACGCCTACCAGCTCGCAGCAGCAGTGGTGAAGCGATCAGCAGAGCGGATGCAGCCAGTGTTCCAGCGACAGCTGGCCCCCGCAATCCGCACTGTTGCTGCGGCCGGAGGCAAGGACGGGAGAGCAAGGGCGGCAGCGGCGGCGGCGGCGGCGGCGGTGGTGGTGGCAGTCTGGCGTGCAAGCGGTATCACGATGTGATCCTGGAGGTGTTTCGAGTGGCGCCGAGTGCGCTGGAGATGGCACTGCCGCAGATACATGAGGAGCTCGTGGTAAGGGGTGGTGGCGGTGGTGGTAGTCTGGCGTGCAAGGGGTATTATGATGTGATTTTTGTTTCGGGGGTGTTTCGAGTGGCGCCGAGTGCGCTGGAGATGGCGCTGCCTCAGATCCACGAGGAGCTCGTGGTAAGGGGTGTGTGTTGAGTGGACTCAAAACAAGCCGAGTGCGCTGGAAATGGCGCTGCCACAAATACATGAGGAGCTAGTGGTAAGGGGCGGTGGATGAATGGCCTCTTTCGCGCATGCACTTGCGTGGCTTGGCATGGCATGGTGTGGCACGGCATGGCATGGTATTGCATGGCATGGCATGATATTGCACGGCCTGTTTGTATCGGGGCACGTGTCTTTCTCCTCCCGCGCACCCTCCCTCTCCCCTTGTGCCGCTGTTGCCCTCTCCTTCTCCCCATCCCTCTCCCAGCACGAGGATCCCGAGGTGCGGCTGAGGGCGGTGTCGCTGGTGGGGAAGCTGCTGATGGTGGACGCGTCCATACTGCATCTCCTCCCTTTTCCCCCCCTTTCCTGCGCACCCTCCTCTTTCCCCTCTCCCCCTCTCTCTCCCAGCACGAGGATCCCGAGGTGCGGCTGAGGGTGGTGGCGCTGGTGGGCAAGCTGCTGATGGTGGACACGTCTCTCCCCTCCTGCCTTCCACTCTCCCAAACCCCCCCACTCCCTCTCTCTCTCCCAGCACGAGGATCCCGAGGTGCGGCTGAGGGCGGTGGCGCTGGTGGGTTGGCTGCTGATGGTGGACGCGGCCACGCTGCAGCACCACTACCGGCAGCTCTTTGCCGAGTTCCTGCGCCGCTCCAACGACAAGTCCGTCGACGTGCGCGTCAAGCTCGCCTCTCACTCACTCCTCCCTTCCTCTCCCTCCCTCCCTCTCACACCCTCCCTCTCCCTCCCTCCCTCTCCCCGCCACTCTCGCCCCTCCTCGCCCCGCCCACCTCCTCTCCCCATTTCTCCTCCCGCACACACTCCCTCTCCCCTTGTGCCGCTGCTGCCCACTCCTGCTCCCCCTCTCTCTCCCAGCACGAGGATCCCGAGGTGCGGCTGAGGGCGGTGGCGCTGGTGGGTCGGCTGCTGATGGTGGACGCGGCCACGCTGCAGCACCACTACCGGCAGCTCTTTGCCGAGTTCCTGCGCCGCTCCAACGACAAGTCCGTCGACGTGCGCGTCAAGCTCGTCAACCTCCTCGAATCGTTCCTGCTCCCGGCTGCTGGTTCCGCTTCCGGTGCTGCTGCTGGTGCTGGTGGTGCTGCTGCTGGGGCTGGATCGGCGGGGGCAGCGGCAGGGGCCGGGGGGAATGCGCTTGTGGCATTGTATTTCAACAAGGCTCCTGGGGTGGGAGGGGCTGTTTCTGGTGCTGGTGGTGGTGGTGCTGGCGCTGTTGGTGCCGGGGCGGGAGCAGGTGTTGGCGTTGGAGGCAGGGCTGTGGATATGTCGGAAATCCGGAGTGAGTCATGGAAGGGACTGGGGTTTTCGGGTTTAGATGTGAACGGAAGGGATGGGGTTTACGGGATCTAGTGGTTAGCGTGGGATGGGTGTTGGCGTGGGAGGCAGGGCTGTGGATATGTCGGAAATTCGGAGTGAGTTATGGAAGGGAGTGGAAGGGGGGTGGGTAGGATGGGAGGAGCGAGAGGAAGGATGGAGATTCAGGGTTTAGGGATGAATGGATTGGAAGGAGTTTACAGGGTTAAAGGGTTAGAGTGGGAGGGTCCGGGCTTTTTTAGCAGGATTGGAGAGTGGACATGGAAGTTTACTTTCCTCTGACCTGCTTGTCTCTTCCCATTTGAACCCTTCCCCCATCTGCTCCCTCCTTTCACAATCCCAGCTTTTCCCGGTGCATCCCCTTCTCAACATCCGCGCTCTTCCCCCTTCTTCATGTGTTTGTACCTCCTCTGTCCTTTCCGGCATCCCCGTTGGCTTCCTTGAACCTTACACCTTACCCCCTGAACCCCCAATCCCCTCCCATCCCCACCCTCTCTCCCACCCCTCCCGTTCACCCCATTTTTCTGCAGACATGCCGCTGGAGCGGCTGCTAGGCGTGGAGGAGAGGGTGAGGCAGGCGGCAGCAATCATTCTTGAGGTTTGTCAGAAATTATATCCTCTCCTCTCCTCTTCACCCATCATTCCGTGCAGACATGCTGCTGGAGCGGCTGCTAGACGTGGAGGAGAGGGTGAGGCAGGCAGCGGTGAAGGCCCTCTGCTCTGTCTTCGCCCGCAGCCCCAAGCTGCTGCCCGTGGCGGACCTGCGAGCAGTGGCTGACAGACTGAGGGACAAGAAGGTTCCCGTGCGACGATCCACGCTGCCAGAGATCGCGAGGGTGTATAGGGAGCACTGCTTGCGGTGCGCGGCGCGGGATAAGGAGAGGGAGGAGGCGGAGGGAGGGAAGGGGGGTAAGGGAGAGGAGGCGGGAGGAGGGGGGGGAGGGGGGGGAGGGGAAGGGGGAGGGGTGGGGAATGGTGTGGAGGGGGATAAGGAGGAGGAGGAGGAGGTGGAGAGGTTTGAATGGCTGCCGAGTCGGATGATCAAGTGCTGCTATTTCAAGGACTGCAAGGACTTTAAGTGAGTGGCGTGGCGGTAGCTAGTTGTCTTGGGGTTTTTGAGGCGCCTCAAAGGACGAATCGGATGGTCAAGTGCTGCCATTTCAACGACTGCAAGGACTTCAAGTAGTATATATTAGGAATGCTGGTAGCTATTTATATTAGGTTCTTGCTCGCGCATTCTCTCCCGGTCTGTTTCTCCTCACGGGTATGTGCATGTAGAGGGGCCTTCAAATATTCTACGTTCAATGCCTGAGATAGTCATAGCCGTCCTTCTGCTGTTATCCTGCCACCCTTCTCTCTCTGCTGTGTTGCATTGTAAGCAGGCGTTCTTCCCCAAGGAGCTTCCTGTGAAGCTTTTGACACCTCAAGGATCTGTCAGCTGTTCTCTTGCCACCCCACCCCACTCCACCTCTCACCTCACCCCATCCCACCCCACCGCGCCCCACCCAACCTCACCCCACGCCACCCCTCTGTCTGCCTTCTTGTGTGCAGGCCGCAGACCATGGACGTGTTCTTTGACGAGGAGCTCTTCCCCAAGGCCCTCCCGGTGGAGCGGAGGGCGTTCCACTGGGTGTACCTCTTCCACTCCTTTGATGTCAACGACCTCAAGGCCTTCTCGCACATCCTGCAGAACAAGCAGATGTGAGTCCGACCCGCCACGCCCTTGCGCTTAGCTTCCCCCACTTGCCCTCAGCCCCCCAGCGCGTCCCTCTCTTCCACTCCTTCGATGTCAACGATATCAAGGCCTTCTCGCACATCCTGCAGAACAAGCAGATGTGAGTCCGCCTCCTCACCTCGCCCCCCCTTCAATGGGCCCCTTTTTTGCCCAGCTCCCCGTCTTGCCCTCAGTTCCATTCCACCCTCCCTGCATTTCACCATTCCTTTCTTCCACTCCTTTGGCCTCAACGGCCTCAAGGCCTTCTCGCACATCCTGCAGAACAAGCAGATGTGAGCCCAGCTTCCCTCGCCTCCCTCATGCCCAGCTCGCAGCTCTCTCCCTGTACCTCACCCCCTCCCTTGCCCTAGCCTCCCCCCTTTCTTCCACTCCTTTGATTTCAACGGCCTCAAGGCCTTTTCGCACATCCTGCAGAACAAGCATCCCTTGTGAGTGCTGCCCCTGCTCTCCCTCCTCCCTCCTCTCCCTTCCACCACCACCCATTTTCCTTGTCCATCGTCCCCCCAAACCTCAAACCCAGAACCCTGTGTGGTCTCCTTGTTCCGTTCCTCCACCCTTGCAGCCTTCAGTTCAGCATGGCACCGTTCCTGAGAACTCGCCAAGTGCTCAAGGACCTGGACGCTCTTTCAGGCGCCTCAAAAACCCCAAACCCCGAACCCCGTGTTTTCCTCTTTCCCCTCCATCCCCTTACCAGCCTTCAATCCAGCATGACAACATTCCTGCGGACACGCCAAGAGCTCAAGGACCTAGACGCTCGCGAGAGGAAAAAGGCTGGAGAGGAGGCAGAGAAAAGCAAGGGGAAGGGCAAGGAGAAAGTAGATGCAGGGGCGGACGGGGAAGGCGGGGAAGGAGGGGAAGGAGGAGGAGGTGGAGGGGATGGGGGTTTGGCGGCGATTGAAGCTGAGAGGAAGGTGCTGCAAGAGAGGATGGTGACGCTGGGACGGCGCATGGCTCAGGCAGCGTTTCTTGATGTGGCGAAGGCTGAGGAGCATTTTGCAAAGCTGGCTGCGCTAAAGGATAACCATGTGTTCCGGCTGTTATCGTCGCTCATGTCCCCGGCTGAAACGCTCACGTCGATACAGGCCATGCGGGTGAGTAGTTCTCGAGGCGACTTGAAAGTCACCTTGCTTTGAGCCGACTCAGAAGTCGCTGCGCTGAAGGATAACCATGTGTTCCGGCTGTTATTGTCGCTCATGTCCCCGGCTGAAACCCTAACGTCGATACAGGCCATGCGGGTGAGTGGGCGCTGTCCTTGTTCTTCGTGTTTCGACGGTTGAGATCTTCTGGTAAACCTTCCGCTCTCGCGCCTGTTAAACCCATGCTAGACTGTGGTTTGCCAACTGTGGTAAACACACTCTCCTCTCCGTCCCACCACCATCTTTCTTACCCCCTTCCTGCCCGTCCCTTTTCCCTTCCCCCCGTGGCCCCCCTGTCTTTCTTTCCCGCCCTCTCCTTTCACCCCGGTGTACAGGAGGAGCTGTTGAAGCGTATAAGCGAGTGGTCGCACCTGTACGGCCTGGTGAAAGACTTCTCCTTCAAGCTCTCCTCTTTCTCACCTCCCCCTCCCCCCCACCCAACCACCCTTCTTCCCGCCCTTCCTCCCGCCCTTCCTCCCCTTCCCATTCTTCCCCTTGATCCATGCCATACAGGAGGAGCTGTTGAAGCGCATAGGCGAGCGCTCACACCTGTACGACCTGGTGAAAGACCTCTCTTTCAAGCTTTCCATCCGCCTGCCCGCGTTCCCCTCCACCTGACTCGCCCCATCTCCCTTCCTCCCGGATGTGCAGGAGGAGCTGCTGAAGCGCATAGGCGAGCGGTCGCACCTGTACGACCTGGTGAAGGACCTCTCTTTCAAGCTTTCCATCCACCTCTTCGGCCGGCAACACACCGAATACGTGCTAGCTATCCTGGGCGCCATTGCTGCCAAAGGGGAGGAGGCACGTTCCAGTCTAATAAGACACACTCCCTTTCCGTCTCACCACCATCTTTCTACTCTCCCTCCCCCCTCCACTTCCCTGTTTCCCCCTGAACGCCCCCTTCTTCCTCCCCGTTGTGCAGGAGGAGCTGCTGAAGCGCATAGGCGAGCGGTCGCACCTGTATGATCTGGTGAAGGACCTCTCCTTCAAGCTCTCCTTCCACCTCTTCGGCCGGCAACACACCGAATACGTCCTAGCTATCCTTGGCGCTATTGCTGCCAAAGGGGAGGAGGCAGCGGCTAAGGTCAATCCTGAGAGCGAGGAGGAGAAGGAGGGAGGCGCGAAGGGGAAGAAGCGGGACGGGAAGGTGAAGGAGGAGGAAGGGGAGGGGGTGGGCGGGGGCGGTGGGGAGGGGGAGAAGGGAGGGGGTGTGGTGGGGGGAAAGAGGTCGGGTGCGGCGGGGTTAACTGTGAGGCAGCAGCAGGTGCTGGCACGGCGGTTCCGGTTGTTTGTGACTGCTGCTATTCGGCTGCTCGTGGTGCGTGCGTGCTGCTGCCTGCTGCTACCTGGTGTTGCCTGGTGTTTGCATGGTGATGCCTGGTGTTGCCTGCCTGGTGTTTTCTGTGTGTGGGTGGGATGGAATTCAGAGGGCACTTTCAAGCTTGCTGCGTCATACTCAGTCTGCTTCCACTGCTGGGGGCACACCACTCCGAGCTCAAGGTGTTCTTGAGAATTCTCAAAAACACCACCCTGCAACACCACTGCTGGGGGGGGCACATTCCGCTTTCAAGGAGGCTCAGCTAAGCTGTTCTCACCCCGGTGCCGTTCCAGTGATGCATCTCCCTGCCTCTCTCCGTTTCCCCACCCCAACCCCTTTCTTCACCCCCCCTCCTACCCCGCTACATCTCAGTATCCCCTTCATCCCTGCTTCCTTCATTGTGATGCATCGCATCGCACCGCATTGCACCGCATTCCAGGAGGTGGCAGCGCACTTCCCCGCGCTCTTTGAGGGGTGCTTCTCCAGCCTGCTGCCGCTGCCGAGGGCACACCACCCCGAGCTGAAGGAGGGCGCCGCAAAGCTGCTCTCCTCCCCGGCGCTGCTCGAGCGGTGCACCTCCGTCCTTCACTCCATTTCCCCACTCCAACCCCCTCCTCACCCCCCCCTTTCCCCACCCCCCCATATCTCTCTCTGCCCCTTTCTTCCCTGCTTCCTTAACTGTGTCGCATTGCATCCCATCCCAGGAGGTGGCAGCGCACTTCCCCGCGCTCTTCGAGGGGTGCTTCTCCAGCCTGCTGCCGCTGCTGAGGGCGCACCACCCCGAGCTGAAGGAGGGTGCGGCAAAGCTGCTGTCCAAGCTCTCCTTCTCCCCAGACTCTGCCTCCCCTCGTGCTGCTGCTCTCAGCAACCAGCCCCCGGATTCTCAGACCACCAAGTAAGATCTGCAGGGGAGGGGTTCAGACGAGGGAATGGGGAGAGGAAGAGCGGAGGGGTGGGGTGGGGAAGGGGGGCGGAAGAGGGAAGAGGGAAGAGGGAAAGGGGAGAGAGTAAGCGGGAAGGGGGAAGTGGAGGGCACAACGGAGTGGCTGAAGCAGCGGCACCGCACCAGATCAAGATTCCCGCTCCTTCACACCTTCTTCCATTTCCTTGCTCCCCTTCTCGTGAATGCCATGCCATGCCCTTCCCCCCCTCCCCTCCTCCCAGCGACACTATGGAGTGTCTGAAGCAGCTTTCTCTCGATGGCATGTGGCATCAGATCGAGGCGGCAGTCGCTGCACTCTGCATAAACCCGAAACCCATATATTGGCCCATTGGCTGCTTCAGCCCTTCCCCCCGTTTCACCCCTAGTCACACCCCCCTCTCACCCCCCTTCTCCCCCGGCCCGACTTTACCTCTCCCCTTCCCTCTTTCTCCCGTTTTTTGTTCCCTGCCCCATCGTTTCTCCTCCTTTCCCAGCGACACGATGGAGTGTCTGAAGCAGCTGGCTCTGGATGGCACGCGGCACCAGATCAAGGCAGCAGTCGCCGCGCTCTCTGCCTCCATCTATGGCGCAAGAGGGCGCTCCACACTCTCATTCATCTACGAGGTACGAAGAATGATGTAATACACACTGGGGGTGGGGTGGGGTGGGGTGGGGGTTTGGAGTGGCTTGGGGGGAGAAGGGGTAGATGGAGCTTTCAGGTCGCACTCTCTGCTTCCATCTATGGCGCCAGGGGTCGTTCCCCACTCTTGTTCATTTATGAGGTATGAAAGAGTCTGAATACACACGCGGTGTGTGGGAGGGGCGGGGGAGGGGAAGGGGGCGGGGGGGGGGGGGGGGGGGTAGATGGAGCTTTCAGGTGGCAGGCACTCTCTGCGTCCATCTATAGCGCCAGGGAGGCTCCACAATCTCGTTTGTTCGTCTACGAGGTGTGTACAAGGGTTTTCCTGATAAGGCTAACAGGCAGGCAGGCAGGCGTTCTGTTACATGTTTCATCTGTCGACTCGACGTGTGCCCCTCCCAGCTCCTCTTTTCTCAGCTCCATCTATCCCATCTCTATTCCCATACCATCCCTGCCGTTACCCCCCCACTGTCGCCTACCAGAAAGCGGTTGCCTCGCCGGTTAGCACGATTGAGCAGCACCTGCAGAAGAGCGAGTATGCGTCTAATCTCAGCTCCTTCTTATCCTCCTTTCCCAACAATCCCTCCTTCGCGTCACACGCCTTCACCCACCATCACTGCCCCATCTGGCCTCCAGAAAGCGGTTGTGTCGCTGGACAGTAGGATAGAGCAGCACCTGCAGAGGAGCGTGGATGCATCCCATCTTGCATCCCGTCTCAGCTCCCTCTATCCCATCTCTATTCCCATCCCATCTATCCCATCTCTGCCATGACGCCCCCACTGTCGCCTACCAGAAAGCGGTTGCGTCGCTGGACAGTGGGATTGAGCAGCACCTGCAGAGGAGCGTGGATGCATCCCATCTTGCATCCCGTCTCAGCTCCCTCCATCCCATCTTTGCCATGACCCCCACTGTCGCCTACCAGAAAGCGGTTGCCTCACTGGACAGCGGGATAGAGCAGCACCTGCAGAAGAGCGTGGATGCACTGGGGGCGATTGCTCGGTTCGCCCCAGACGTGTGGCAGCCGCATGAAGATGCCATCATCAAGTTTGTTGTGCGCAAGCTGCTCCGTTGCCATGTGAGTGGTGTGGTATGCCTGTGGGTATTGGTGCGTGCGTGCTTGGGCCGGTTGGGTGTGAGTGTGTGTGTACGTGCGCGTGTGGGTATGGGTGGGTGGGTGGGTGGGGCAGCCGCATGAGGACGCCATCATCAAGTTTGTCGTGCGCAAGCTGCTTCGCTGCAGCGTGAGTGTGCGCGCTGGGTGGATTGTTTAATTTATTTTTTTCATTTGTTTGTTTGTTTGTTTGTTTTTTTCACACGTAATTCTGATCTTCTTCTGTGTGCCTTGTGTCTGTCCTACGTCGCCGCTGCTTCTGTTTGTCTTGGTTTCAGAGTGTGACGGGCCAGGGGAGTGCAACAGCAGCGGCGCTAGACACGCCCTCTTCTGTGGCGGTACTCAAGGTGAGTGTAAAGGAAGGGGCTGCTTCGTGTGCACGCGAATGCGTGTGTATTTGTCTGCTGGACTTTGTTTGTGTGCGCGGACTCGAGCATACATTCCTTCTCCCCCCTCATCTACCCTCTCTTCGCTTTCCTGCACTTTCCCCACCACCTCATCATCGCATGTGCGACCCGTCTCTCTCTCTCTCTCTCTCTCTCTCTCTCTCTCTCTCTCTCTCTCTCTCTCTCTCTCTCTCTCTCTCTCTCTCTCTCTCTCTCTCTCTCACCTCTTATCCTCGTCCCTCTCTCTTACGTGCCCCTCTCACCTATCCGCCTCCCCCCCAACTGTGTGTGTGTCCTCTCTGCCAGTCGCGCGGTATCAAGATGCTGGTGAATACGTTTCTGCCACGGCAGCCGGCACCGGGGAGCAGCAAGAAGCAGTCATCGGGGCTGCAGGCGGTGCTGTGCAAGCTGCTGCCGCGGGGAGAGGTGTATGAGGATGTGCAGTCCTCGTGAGTGTGCTGCGCTGCTTTGCACTTCGCTCTCTAGGTTCATGCACGCACGCACCCATCCATCCACATGTGCCGCACTGCACCCACCCAAACCGCAGCCCCAGGCGTTGCTGAGCAAGCTGCTGCCGCGTGGAGAGGTGTATGAGGATGTGCAGTCCTCGTGAGTGTGCTGCACTGCTTTGCACTTCACTCTCTAGGTTCATGCACGCACGCACCCATCCATCCACACGTGCCGCACTGCACCCACCCAAACCGCAGCCCCAGGCGTTGCTGAGCAAGCTGCTGCCGCGGGGAGAGGTGTATGAGGATGTGCAGTCCTCGTGAGTGTGCTGCACTGCGCTCTAGGCTATGTTGCGAAAGACGCGTCCTGCGTCCTAGACGCATGCGTCCAGACGCATGCGTCCAGACGCAGGACGCAGCACCAGAACCAGAAAGACGCACCAAAAGATGCAAGCCCGGGCAGGGCAAAAAAAACCCCGGGCAGGCAAAAAAAATGTTATAAGCCCTGGATGAGCACGGGGGCGGGTCGGGCTGTTCTGGCCCGCTTATTTCCCCTGCGATTTGCTTCGTCAGCTCTTCTTATAAGCTAGTCGAGGAAACCCTAAGAGTTGATTACGCTGTCGACTATATCTCAGGCCAATAAATGCGGCCAGATCTGGTCAACCAAGGTTGGGAATTGATAGACTGATTGGAAATTCTAGATTCAGTGCGGTGAAATGCGGTTTTTGTTCTAATTTGAGTCAATTTCGACAGATCTCATTCTTGCGGGGATTTGACCCCCCGGACAAATGTCGTGGGGGTCAAATTTGAGCTGCGCGACATTTTGTGCAAGCTCTTGCGCAAGCTCAGCTCACCCCTAGCTTCTCACCATATATTTATATCTCACCTAGCTCGTTTTCAAACTTAGGTTTCAGTGCTAGTTAACTGTTTAAAGTAACGGTTATCTCCAAGGGTGACGAAATAGTGCGTTTGAGCTAAGAGAGGAAAGGGGGGGGAAGGGGGGACCTTCCACACTTTCAATGGCGATTTGGGCAAGGGGGGGTCGAAATTTCGCGATTTCGACATTCACGTCGAAATCGCGAATGTCAATTTCGCGATCAAGATTTTTTTTCCGGTCAGCCCGAAGAAAAATCGCCGTGCGTCCTGCGTCTGGACGCGCGTCCTGCGTCCGTGCGTCCAGACGCTGCGTCCAGACGCAGGACGCAGCGTCCTCCGTGCGTCTTTCTCAACATAGGCTCTAGGTTTATGCACACACGCATGCTGCACTAGCTGCTGGGAAAGCTGCTGCCGCGGGGAGAGGTGTATGGGGACGTGCAGTCCTCGTGGGTGCTGTTCGGTTTAGCAAGCTACTGCTGCGCTGCGCTGCGCTGTGCTGCGCTGCGCTGTGCTGTGCTGTGCTGTGCTGTGCTGTGCTGTGCTGTGCTGTGCTGTGCTGTGCTGTGCTGTGCTGCGCTGTGCTGTGCTGTGCTGCGCTGTGCTGTGCTGTGCTGCGCTGTGCTGTGCTGTGCTGCGCTGTGCTGTGCTGTGCTGCGCTGTGCTGTGCTGTGCTGTGCTGCGCTGTGCTGTGCTGTGCTGCGCTGTGCTGTGCTGTGCTGCGCTGCGCTGTGCTGCGCGGCACAGCCCTCTAGATCCACACACGCACACACACGCACACACACGCACACACACGCACTTATCCGAGCGAATGTAACCACCCACCCATCGTTTGTAAACCTGTCATTGCAGGGATGCGGACCAAGTCCCAAGTCAGTGGTCAACCTCGCAAATCACCTCCGAGACATCTCAATAACAACCAACTCATTGTCTGTGAAACCCGTCACTGCAGGGATGCGGACCGTGCGCCACTGCGGATGACAGCAGCCAAGTCAGTGGTCAACCTCGCAAAATCACCTCCGAGACATCGCAATAACCACCCACCCATCGTCTGTGAAACCCGTAACTGCAGGGATGCGGACCGTGCACTGCTGCGGATGACAGCAGCCAAGTCAGTGGTCAACCTTGCCACACAGCTCGACGCCCAGATCACTCCTGACCTCTACCGCCTCGCTCTCTTCTCCTCGCTTGTAAGTCTCGAGGTGTGACCACCTCTTGAGTCAAGAAGGTGCGCTGCTGCAGATGACAGCAGCCTAGTCAGTTGTCAACCTCGCCTCGCCACAAAGGTCGACGTCCAGATCATTTCCGACCTCTACCGCCTCGCTCTCTTCTCCTCGCTTGTGAGTGCCGCCAACCGTCCAGACGACACGGACTTTGATTGCACGGCTCGGTGCCCAAGCTCTATGCTCTGCTGCCCTGGGTTGGAAGGGTCTGGGTGTACACGAGTTCACACCCTGGTCTCACCTGTTTTCTGCGCTTCAAAATCCCTGTCAACACCTCTTCCATCCCCTCCTCCCGTCCTCTCCCCTCCTCTCTGCTCCCGCCCCCTCCCCCTCTCCCTTCCCTTGCTCTCTTTCCCCTCTCCCCTTCCCTCCACACCGCCCCTTGTCCATGCAGGATACCTTTTCTCTGGTGCGGAGGGGCTTTGCCAGCAAGCTGATAGCGCGGCTCAAGGACCGATCCGTGCCCATGCGCTATGCTGCTGCTGCTGCTGCTGCTGCTGCTGCTGCACGAATTGAGTTTTTGTCCTTACCTGTTCCCTGCGCTTCAAACTCCTAGTCAGCACCTTTTCCATCCCGTGCTACCCTCCTCTCCCCTTCTCTCCCGCCCCCTTCCCTCCGGTCCCTTCCCGTTCCCCTCTCCCTTCCTCTCCTCTCATCCCTGCAGGATGCGGTGCCTCTGGTGCGGAGGGGCTTTGCCAGCAAGCTGATAGCGCGGCTCAAGGACCGATCCGTGCCCATGCGCTATGCTGCCGCGCTGCCGCTGCTGGCCGCTGCAGAGGAGACAGACAGCGAGCAGCAAACGGAGGTGAGTTCTATCAATGTGAGGGGGGTTGATTGAAGCAGCAGAGTGAGGTGAGGAGGAAGGGGGAAAGGGAAAGAGGACCAATCTGTGCCCATGCGCTATGCTGCCGCCCTGCCGCTGCTGGCCGCTGCAGAGGAGACAGACAGCGAGCAGCAGACCGAGGTAAAGGGGATTGGAAGAGAGGGTGAAGAGCACAGGGAGCTGAAGAGGGAGATTGGGGGATTGGGGGGGGGGGGGGGGGGAGAGAGGAGGAAAGGGAAGCCGGAGAAGGGGGGGGGGAGGTAAATGTGTGAATTGTAATGCTTACTTACACTGGTTTCTTTCCGTTTCTGGAATAATCTTCACAAAATCTTTGACCCCTAGGGTTTTTTTTTTTTTTTTTTTTTTTTTTTTTTTTTTTTTTTTTTTTTTGAACTCCTTTCCTTGCCCCCCTTTGTGCAGGTCCGGAGGTACCTAGCAGAATACGTGGACGTTACTAGGAGGGCAGCAGCTAAAAGATCCGTGGCAGGGGCAGCAGGAGGAGGGGCAGCTGGGGAGGATGGGAAGGACAAGGAAGGGAAGCGGGAGGGGCAGGCTTGGGAGGTGAAGGGAGGGGGAGAGGAAGCGGGAGGGAAAGACGGTGCTGGTACAAGTGCTGCCGGTGCTGCTGATTCTGCTGGCGCTGGTGCTGGTGGTGTGGGGGGTGCAGGGTTATCGACGATTATAGAGCACCCTGAGTATGTGCTAGTGTATCTGGCGTATATTCTGGCCCAGCATCCCAAGTGGCCGAAAGCTGATGCTGCCGGTGCCAAGGCAGAGGACTATGAGCCAATTCAACGGTATGCGGGAGAGGGAGGGAGGGAGGGAGGGGGGGAGGGAGGGCGAAGGGGGAGAGGGAGGGAGGGAGGGAGAAGGGAGACAGGGAGAAGGGTGGGGAGGGGAAGGGTGGGTGGGTGGGGGGAAAACCAGGGCAGAGTGGGTGGGGTGTGGCTGTATGATGATGCGAGATGGTAGGTGAATTGGTTAGTCCATTTCTTGTCTCCTTACATCTTATCAGGTTCCTTCCTTCCTCTCTCGTCTCTCTCCTCCTGTACTCCCCCCAAACCCCATTCTTCCCCCCCCAACCCCCCCATCACCAACAACCAAGCCTCCTCCCTGGAGCCCTATTATCATCCATTTTCATCCATTTTCTTGTCATTTGAGGCCCCTCAAATGTCCCCCATCACCAACAACCAAACCAAACCTCCTCCCTGGACCCCCCCTTCCACGTTCCTTTTGTCGTCCATTTCCTTGTTCGTCCCCTCTCCACACAACCCTTTCCAAGTTATCCCTGTCCCCCGCTTATCTTCCCAGCCCAAACAACTGGCGTGCTCTCTCTTCTCGCCAAATCACCTCATGTCCTTACCCCTCCCAATTGCTCCCCTCCCCCTCCCCCCCCCCCCCCCCCCCCCCCCGGCCCTCTCCTGTCTTTGCACCCCTCTCTTGCATCTTCCCCCCTTGCACCTTCTCCCTTCCCCAGCCCCCTGGAGTATCTACTGCGTGCACTGCTGCAGGGGGGCGCGGAGGGGGGGAGGGGCGCGGAGGCAGGGGCAGGGGCGTCGCGCAAGGACAGGGGCGGGGGCCAGGAGGAGGTGGATAACTGGGAGCGGTGCTGGCAGTGCTGCGAACCGTCAAGGCTGCCAGTCCGGTTGCCAACAGCGTTGCACAGGAGGTGAGTGAGTGGCACTAGGACTTGGAAGGGCAGTGGGGAAGGAGGGTGGGGGGGGGGGGGCGGCCAGGAGGAGGTGGATAACCTGGGAGCGGTGCTGGCAGTGCTGCGGACGGTCAAGGCTGCCAGTCCGGTTGCCAACAGTGTTGCACAGGAGGTGAGTGGAGGGCTTATTATTGTGTGGTGTGGTGGTTAACCACCGTCCGAGGACTTGTTTCTGACCCACCCACCCACAGTCCGTCTCTGCAGCTCCTCTTGCTTTCTCTCCTCCTGCCGCCCTTGCTTCTTCCGTCCTACTTTTGTTGGCCGACCACCCCCTCCTGGTGTGACAAACGTTCCATCCTTTGGTTTGAACTGCTGTTTCGGTTCTCTCGACCCATGGCGTTCTTCTCTTTCCCCCTACCATCCAACCTCTCCCCTCCTTCCCCCCCTCCACCTCCCCCCCCCACTCCCCTCTTTCCCCCTTCCCCCGTTTCCACCTCCCGTCTCCCGTCTCCCGCTTATCAGAAACTAGCAACAGTGTGTGACATTGGCATTGCGATAGCCAAGGCCATTGGCAGGACCCGTCCCTTCACGCTCACCTACTCGCAACTCGTGCCTCTCCCTCTGCACTCTTCAAAAGCCCTGCTACCTCGCCGCCCCCTGCTGCCGCTGCTGCTTCCTCTGGAGCGATCACACCTGCAGCAGCAGGAGGAGCAGCAGCAGGAGGGGGAGGAGAAGGGGGTGCAGTAGGGGCAGAGAATAGAGCGAAGGAGACTGAGACTCCTGAGCCTACACCGACGCCTGGATCCGAGTTGCCGCTCACTCCCCTGGTTAGTGCCTGCCTGCCTGCCTGCTGCTAACCTTCCCCTTTGCTTGCTCCCTCCCTCCCCTCTGTGCCTCACTCCCTCCCCTCGTTCTTTCCTCCTCACTCACCCTGTCCTCCTCAAACTCTCCCCTCCCTCCCATTCCTATCCCTCAAGTCACACTTGCTCCTCTTACCTTTTACCCCCTCTCTCATTCCCCTCTCTTCTCACTCCCCTCACTCAGTCTCTTTACACACCCACCTCCCACTCCTCTCTTGCTGCCTGATCCCCACCCTTCTCTCTCCCTCTCGCAGCGGGGACGGTAGCAATCTCTTGGCCTGCTTGTCAGATCTAGAGACCCAATTCGTGGTGCAAGCTGTATTCCCTCCCGGCATTCCCCATCCCCCTCGGCATTCCCCATCCCCCTCTCTCCTCTCTTACCCCGCCCCATCCCCGCCCGTCTCTCTCCAGCCGGACGTCAGCAATCTCCCGGCCTGCCTGTCATATCTAGAGAGACCCAGTTCGTGGTGCAAGTGAAGCCCCTTGCTTCACCCTCGACTCACTCCTCTCTTGCTGCCCCGGCCTGCCTGTCGGATCTTGAGACCCAGTTCGAGGTGCAAGTGAAGCCCCGGTTTCTGAGGCGCCTCAAAAGCCCTCTCTTGCTGCCCCATCCCTACCCCTCTCTCTCCTACACAGCCCGACGGTAGCAATCTCCCGGCCTGCTTGTCGGATCTAGAGACCCAGTTCGAGGTGCAAGTGAAGCCCCTTGCTTCACCCGCTGCCAAAGCGCGGCACCATGTGAGTTTTGTTAGAGGGGGAGGAGTGAAGGAGGGAGGTCCGGTGGGGGTTATGAGGGGGATGTTGCGGTGGGGGGTTAGGTGGGGGATTTGGGGAGGGCTTGTTGGACTGATTGATATGTACTGCTTGCCCTCCCACCCGGTGACTTCCTTTTATCTTTCTCCATGCTTCCTGTTTGAGTTTGGAGACATCTCACTTCTGTGGCAGCTGAGGCTCCTTCTTGGTGGCTTCCCCCTCTCCTTCCCCTCCTCTCCCCTCTTCCCCTCTTTTTTCCCACTTCCTTCCCCGTCGTATCTGTTTCTTCTCTAGGCTTCCCGTGCGGGCGGGAAGGGCAAGAGACCTTCAAGATCGACCACGAGAAGGAGGCTGGACGGGCCAGGAGAGGAGGAGGAGGTCGAGGAGGAGGATGAAGAGGCAGAGGAGGTGGGAGGGGACGAGGAGGGTGAGGAGGATGAGGAAGAGGAGGATGACGTGTGGTGAAGGTGGTTTCTGAAGAGGGTGTGACTGTTGTTGCGGAGGGGAGGGGGCGCAAGGGGAGGAAGGAAACGGGTGCTGCGGAATCGGCGAAAAGAAAGCGAAGTGGCTGTAGAGGAGGCTACTCCTGGGAAGGGAGAGGGGAGAGGGGGGGATAAGCGGAAGGGAAGGAAGGAGGAGAGGAAGAGGAAGAGGAGGAAGCAGAGGGGGGTTGAGGAAGAGGAGGAGGAGGCAGGGAGGGGGAGGAGGAGGGGGCGGAAGAGGAAACACCGACTGCCAAGGAGGGAAGGGAGCAGGGCAGGGGGAGGGAGGAAGGGGGTCAAGAGTGCTAGTAAAGGCGCTGGTGGCTCTGCTCTGCTGCAGCAGCTGCTGTCACCCCGAAGGGAGGGAAAGGAAGCAGGGGGCTTCAGTGAGTCATAAGAAGGTACGGGAGGAGTGCTCTAGGTGCCTGTGGGAAAGGGGTTCTGCTTGGGTGTGTGTGAATGAGTCTTTGATTTTTGCGTCGTTGTGATTGGCAAGGGTGGGTTGTTTGGAGGGTTATTTTCATTGCCCGTTTTGTCTCTTGTGTTACCTCCGTCTCTAGTTCCTTCTGTTCCTCCTTTCGTCACTCTCCTTCCTTCCTCCCTCCCTCCCTCCCTCCCTCCCTCCCTCCCTCCCTCCCTCCCTCCCTCCCTCCCTCCCTCCCTCACTCTGTTCCTACCCCAAACCCACCCTCTTGCCCGTGTGCTCATGTGCCGTAACCAGAAAGTACCAGCAACGCAGCCAGCAAGCGCCAGCAGGGGCAAACGAGATTGCTTTGCGCAAGGCGTATGTGGCCGGCGCATCAAAGTGTGGTGGCCGCTCGACAAAGCGTGAGTAGTAACACCTGGTTGGATGCGGATGGATGGATGTATGTGTGGGGTGGATGTATGTGTGGATTTGTTACAGTCTCCTGTTTCCGCAAGGCGTATGTGGGGTGGAGCATCAGAGTGTGGTGGCCACTCGACAAAGCGTGAGTAGTAACACGAGACTGGATGCTGAATCGTGGTGGATGTAGTGTGTGTGTGTGTGTGTGGTTTTTGCTTTTATCCGTTTTGATGTGAGCGATTAGGTATGCTGAGAAGCACACTGCAAAACCTACACTTGCTGCCTGTTGCCTGTTGCCCCATTCACTCAAAACTCTCGCTACTTCTCTTCGCGCTCCCCGTTCTCCCCCGCACAGCTACTACAAGGGTGTAATCAAGTCTTATCAAGTCAAACCGAGAAGCATACGGTATGCATGACAAAACCAACCCTGACTAAAGTCAGCCTCTCATGCTCCTTGCTTCTAGGATTCTAGGATGCATTTCTTCCTGATTCTGGATTCTCCTCTCTCTCTTCCTTCTTTGCCTGCCGCCTTCCCTTCATTCCTTCGAATGCCATCTCTCTCCCCCCTTGCTCCTAAACACACCTTGTGCAAGTTATTCTTTCTAAGATGGCAAGGCTAGCACCTCCTACACACCAAAATCTAATCCAAGCTTGCTTCCCCTCCCTTCCCGTTGCTCCTTCCTCCCTTCCCCCTCCCCACCCGCACCTCCCACGCCCCCTTGCCCCTCCCCCATCTCTCTCTCCCCCTTTTCCCCTTGCCTCTCCCCTCTCCTCATATCAAATCCCCTTTTTGTATATTTATGTATACGTGTACATATAAATGTCTTTCTGTTGGTCGCTGGTCGCTCCATCCCTCTGCTGCATAATCTCCTCATCTGCCTTTGTTCTGTCTGCCATCTGCCATCTGCCTTCCAAGAGATAGCCCTTCTCCATGTCTTTTGTGATGCGCTGCTCCATCTCTCTATCACCATCCCTCCATCTCCTCTGTCTTCCCTCGCTCACCAGGTGCGGAACGACGACGGGGACAAGAAGCACCTCTTGCTGCACCGGGAGAAGTTTGAGTTCATCAACAAGCTTCCATGAAAATATTGCCTTGTCTTTTCCATTGCCCTTGTGATTGGCTTCCCATCTCTTCATCTCCTCTGTCTTCCCTCGCCCACCAGGTGCGGTACGACGACGGGGACAAGGAGGACTTGCTGCTGCACCGGGAGAAGTTTGAGTTCATAGACGGGCTGCCTCCCCCACCATCGCGTCCGCTGAGGTTCGTTGCAGTCTCTCAGTCTCCTGTGACAGGCAGGGAGGGTTTGTCTGATTGTCAAATGTTCGTTTGTCTGGGACTGCTTTCATTGCCGGTGGGCCACAATCTGTCGGTCTTTCGTTCTGGTAGAGAAGATCTCTTGCGCTGCCTATGGCAGGGCAACCGTTTGTGAATCCCCGGTTCTTTCTACATATATTTGGGCTGTTTCTTTTCCCTCTGCCTGTCTGTTGCACTCCCCAGAAGCCGGCAACTTCTGCTCCAGACTCTGCCAGCAAAGGGAAGTCTTCAGGGTCGCACAGAAAGGGCGCGGAGACAGCTGGTGCTGATGGCTCCGCCAGCGTCAGCAAGTAAGAACCCGCATAGCTTGTCTAAATGATGCTACAGATGCGTGGGCGTGCAAATGCCGCTCCCTATCCTGCTTCGCATGGTCTTCATGTGTGCTAGTCACCTTTGAATCAGTTGAAAACCGTTTTGGCATTTTTCAGGCACCCATTTCTCTTCTCATTCCTCATACTTTTTCGTTCCCTCTGGCCTACAGACCTTCTCACAAGAAAAAGGTTCCTCCTCCAGTTGCTGCTGTTGACCCTCCTGCTCCCGCTCCCTCTGCTGCTGCAACTGGCGCTGCTGCGAAGGCTGATGGGGGGAAGGCTAAGGGTGCAAGCACACCTGCAGGGGATAGGGGGGCTGGCAGAGGGAAAGGGGCTGCTGCTGCTGCTGCTGCTGCTGCTGCTGGTGGAGGGAAAGCGGGAGGATCTGCTGAGAAGGGAGGGAGAGGGAAGAGAAAGGCAGAGGAGGTGGTTGGGGATGAAGAGAGGGAGGGGGATGAGGAGGGGGATGAGACAGCAAGAGAGGGGAAGGAGGAGGGAGGGAAGAGAGGGAAAGGTGCGAAGAGGGGGAAGGGAGCCGGGGCAAAGGAGGATGAGGGAGGTGAGAGCAGTGAGCAGGGGGATGTGGAAATGATTGAAGCAGAGGAGGATGATGGGGGGGGAGAGAAGGGAGAGAAGGAAGGAAGGGAAGGTGAGAAGGGGGGCGACAGAGGAGGAGAAAAAGGAGGGGAAGGGTGAGCAGGGGCTGAGAAAGTGAGTGAAAAGAAACAAGAGGAAGAGGAGAAGGGCGGTGAGGAGGAGGAGAAGACGAGTGGTGAGGAGGGGGAGAAAGGGGAGAAGGAGGGGGAAAGGGTGGGGCGAAAAAAAGCAGTGAAGGCGAGTGTTTGGCATTGCTGCTAGTGTTCCTGTAGCTGCAAATGCTGCTGATGCTAAGACTACAGCCAAGACTGCTGATGCTAAGAGTGCAGAGGCCAAGCAAGGAGGGACTGAGGCTGGAAAACGGAGAAAACTGATGGAGGGAAGAAGGGCGGGAAGGCTGATGAGGAGGAAGAAGGGGAGGAGCGTAATGGGGCTAATAAGAAGCAAAAGGCGTCAGGGAGGGTGAGGGGAGGGCAACGGGGCAGCAAAAGGAGAGAAGGATGAGAAGGACGGGGGGAAGGCAGGGGCAAAGGCAGGGGATAAGGAAGGAGGTAAGGCCAGGGAGAGTACTGCTGTAAATGGGAACTCTGTTGGCGAGGAGGATGAGAAGGAGACGAAGGATAAGGAGAAGGATGAGAAGGAGGAGGGGAGAAGGGGAAGGAGAAGGAGCAGGAGGCGGGAGCAGCAGCGCAGGGGGGCCGAGCGAGGAAAGTGTCTATTGGCATTGCTGTGGGTGCGCAGGAAGAGAAGAAAGCAGGGGGCGCTGCAGGAGAAGGGGAGGAGAAGAAGGCAGCAAAGGAAGCAGAGGCTGAGGCTGCTGCTGGGGCTGGAGGATCAGGAGGAGAGTCGGATGGAAAAGAGAAGGTGTGGAAGCACAGACTTCCCCCCCTTGCACGTCTCAGTTTTGTTCCTCCTACCCCTCTTTGATTATTCCGTGTCGTTTCCTCCTGTCCTTTTCTGTTTTGTTTTGATTTCATCTGATGTTTGTTTTTCGTGGTCTTCACATTTCTTTCGATATGTTGTGCTGCAGAGGCAGCTACGGGAGCGTCTCAAGGGCCCGTGGCAAGTCGTAGAGGGGAAGGGTAGGTCGAGACGGTTGTGATGTGAGTCATCATGACTACTACTGACTTACTAGCCCGTACACCTGCTGTTGTCGCTGCTCCTGCCGCCGCTCCTGCTGTTGGGTTGGTCATGGGGTTGTGGCGGCGGTTACTGGTCACTGACAATCAAATGACACTGCTTTTGTGACAAACAGGGCTAGAAATAGCACTAGAAAGGCCGCAAATGATAACTGCATGCTTACAGTCTAGGGGTACTTGATTCGGAGTTAGCAATTAAGATGCAGTAGGTGTTTGATAGTTGTACCTATCTGACCTGAAAACTTTAGACTTGGGCTCTTTAGGGCGTGTAAAATCGCCGCACCGAAAAATTCGGCCACACTGAACGAAGAAGTTCGTGACCATCGCTAAATTAGCCAATAAAAAACGAAATTGGTGGCCGTTTTGAAAGTCGACTCGAATTCGACACCATGTCGACTCCAATTCGGCCAAGTAGTCGACACCGTCAGCGACTGTCACGTGCGACGTCGTACGGTCTCGCAGAACGACCGAAAAAAAAATTTCTGGTCGAATCAGAGATTTCGCCGTCAAATGTGCGACCACGTCGCACATACATTCCTACTGTAGCACCTGCAATTCTTTCAAGTTTTTGAAATCGGCCTGAAATTCGGCCCTCAAACCTGTAAAGTTGCAAATCTGCAATAGTGGCTGTAAATGTGACGACACGAAGTCGACCAATCCGTCGCTTTTCGCGAAAGAAATGTCGACCACATGGTCGACATAAAACCGGCCAAAAGCAAATTTTGCATATTTGCGGAAATTTTACACGCCCTTAGACAAATATAATATGGTAGACATGTCTAGGGTAAGGGAGCGAAAAGGTAGTAACTCTGACGAAGATATCTATGCCTTCCTGACAACGCCTGCAAATCCGCATTCAACACACTCGTCCTTGACAGTGATTGCGCCATCGCCGCTCCACGCTGGATTCTCCTTCCATTCCCGAAGACAGACAGAGCTGTCTAAAACAGCTACAGACCAGACTCTCTCTCAATTACAGAGTGTTCTTGCTCTGCTTTCAACAAAGTATCTCGGTTACAACTCGTGAGACTTGACGGGCTCAAGATTTCTGTTTTGCTTTCAGTTTTGGCCATCAAAGCCCTGAAACCATCAAATTTGCCCAATTCGTTTCCGCAGAATCGCGAGATCCAGCACTCGGTTTTAGTTGATTGATCGGTTGCGGTAGTTCGTCTGCTGTTTAGGAAATGAAAGCATCAGGCTAAACGTGTTCGGACTAAGAGGATCAGTTGGATTGTTGTACCCAGATATCAGCCGTTCTCAGTACCACCATAGCCGTTCTCAGGTTCCCTTGCCGGCAATGTGTCAGGCGCTGCGGTTCGACCGACAATTTCTTGCCTGCCGACAGACAACGCGCAGCGCGGCAATGTGCATGAAATGAACGCGTTTGCCCGGTTGGTTAGATTCCGCGAAGCGGGATTTTCTCCCCCGTTTCCCAAATTACCCAAATTCCCCCAAACCCCACTTCCACCCTGCGTGATCGTCATGATTTTCGCACATGTCATGCGATGCGATGCGACAGCTGGGTCGTCGTCGTCCGCTCGTCGTCGTGTCCAGCCCAGCCTGACCCACTGTGCCAGCCTCGCCAGCAGCGCGTGGCGGAGTGTACATGTACCGTGGTGAACATAACCGCTCACCTGCCCTTCCGCCTCCGCTCCCCCTTCATCCCCAGCTTTCTGTCTTTCTTGACCTAGCACCCCCCACCCAACTTCTCCCCTTCCCCTCTCCCCACGCATCTCCCCGCGCATCCCTGCTCCCCACCTTCCTCCTCCAACCCCCCGTGCATGTCCTCTCCGCCTCCCCGCCTCTACTCCAGCTCGCTTCCCGTACCACCGAACCCAACCACACCGAATTGCGCCTTCCTCCCCATTTCCAACCCGATAAAACCCACGTTTCGCTGCTTCGTCCCCACCTCTCCCCGCCGCGTATTCCGGCGGAGATTACAAGCCCCCAGCCGCCGCGACGAGGAAGCGGAAACAGAGAGAAAGCCCCCGGCCATTTTCAGGTGCATGCAACTTAGTCGAGGCGCGCTATTCAGGTGCATGCTATCCCGTCGTTTTTCTCCCTCTGTTACCACTGTTTGTACACATCCGCCACTAAAAATACTGTTCCGTCAGGGGAACACAAGCAGCACACGCAACACACGCAACACACAAAATGGGCCTGGCAGGGAAGCCCGAAAATAAAAAAAATACAACTCATAGAAAGCCTGGACATTGTTCGGGAGGGATCAACCCTAAACACGGGAACCTTCATGGTGTTTAGGGTTGTTGTCACGTAAGGCAGTGGGAAAAAAAACCTAGGGAACCTGGACTAATTTTCCGGAAGAGATCAACCCTAAACACGGAACTGCCCTCGTGTTTAGGGTTGATTCCTCCCGAGTTGCATGCGTTTCCAATTGGGCTCTATATTTTTCTTGCCCGTTTTTTGTCAGGTGTATTGCGATATGTGCTGACCTCGTTCGCAGTAAGGCTGCGACTGGTGTGGTTGGACGACGAGTTCGTGCGAGAGCTGCGCCAGTTGGTGTCAGTCGGATTGTAGCATCCCCTGACGGAACAGTAATTTTCGTGGCGGAGGTGTACATACAGTAACAACAGAGAGAAAAATGACGGGATAGCATGCACCTGAATAACGCGCCTCGAATAAGTTGAATGCACCTGAAAATGGCCGGAAAGCACCAGACGCATCTGTTCGGTGGAGGTTCAACTGGGAGAGAGGAACCAGCGGCGCGGCGGCCCGTTGAATGATTCCATTGCAGGTGGGCAAGGCGCAGCGAGGCGCAACAGCGTTTAGCTGGTTGGTTGGTTGGGGGGAGTATTTATATGTCTCGTTCTGGGCCGATCGATGATGATTAATTAATTATTTACGTCTCGCTCCAGAAGCAACCAGCTTATTGGCGCACAGAAAGCAATCATACGCCTTGTTGTCATCGTCTCTCATCGTCCTCTTCGTCCCCGCTTCGCCATCGTTCCGTCTTTCCGCGAGCGCACTGACCTCGCACCAGCTGTAATACACGCATTAGGTCCCTGCAGTTTCAGTTGAAGTACCGCGCGTTTTATCCCGGGAGGCTCGCAACGCGACCATTCAGCAGCAGCCGAACTGAAGCAGGAATCTTTATTTGAGCGTCGTACACGTAGGGGAATCCTCGAAAGCTAATCTGCGACAGCGAGAGCTGAGGTCCTGGCCAATCCCGTCCATCCAATTCCAGCATTCTTTATTTATTGATTGTTATTTATCTAATTTTCCGGCCCGTGCCCCCACGTGCGCGTGGTGCAATTAATCAGCGACTGACTTCCTACCCACCTAGACCAACTCGTACAGCTCTTACCAACTGACCGCTGACCCGAGTCGCAATAGGCCAAGAACGGACTCTCTTATTCGATTGATTCTTCAAGGCAGACAAAAACCTTCGCAAACGGCGCGCGCGGAAAGGAAACGACGTTATGACGCGTGGCTCCCCCACAGCAGGCGGGCATCGCTGCCTAATACGCGCGCGGAAGCCGGGTCCGCGGAGTTGGCGGAGTAGAGGGAGGTTGCGCGCGTCGCTCACACTCTCCACGTATACATTCTCCGCCGCGTGCGCATGGCTGTTCATTGCGCTGATTGCTTCCGCCTTATGCGCGCAAACGGCGTCTGCGAAGCCCTTTTTACGTACGTTCGCCCGACAGGCTTCCCCCCATAGGCTTCCCCCATGGGCTTCCCCGCATAGGCTTCCCCCATGGCCTTTCCCCCATGGCCTTCCCCCCATGAGCTTTGCGCCAAGGGTTCACCGAAAGCCCACCTCTCCCCCCGCAACCTCCTCACACCTCCCCTTCCCCACTCTCCTCGCATCCCCTCCCTTTCCCCACACTTCCTTTCCCCACACTCCTTCCCGCTTTCTTCCACCCCCTGGGTCCCCCACTTCGTTTCTTTCGCTCACATGCCTTCCCGCGGTTTCCTCCCCTCTCCTCCCCTCCATCCCGCCTTGTTCTCGCTCCGCCCATCCGCCCATCCCCCGTCCGCCCATCTGCACCTGCTCTTGATTCCCCTCCCCTCCCCCTTAGCCCCCCCCCCCCCCCCCCCCCCCCCCAATTCCCACCCCGACCCATCTCCTCCTTCCGGATCCCCCTTTCTTGCCCTTCCGCCGAACCCCTTCCTCGTTTTCCCTTCCCATTCCCCCTGTTCGCCTCCGCCTTCCCCCCCACCCTCTTCCCCCCATCCTCTCTTCCCCGTTCTCCCTTCCCCCCATCCTCTCTTCCCCTTCTCTCCCCTCCACCGTCTCCGCCCCATCCTCCTCCCCCCCATCTCCCCGTCCCCCTTCCTCCTCGTCCGCTCCCCCCAGGCTCCCCGCTCCGCAACGGCGGGTTCGACAAACTGGGCGCCACGCTAGAAGACCTAATCAAGCGCTCCGGCGGGCGAGTAGGGCCGCGTGATTCGCGGCGTGAAAGAGGTGCCGGGCTGGAAGGCGTCTAAGGGCGGAGTTAATCTGCTCCGCGTATCGGGGGATATACAGTGCGCAGCGACCGGGGGAGCGGCCGGCGGAGCGGCCGGCGCGGGCGGAGCGCAGCGAAGCGCCAATGGCACATGCACGCCTAGCGGGGAGAGCGCGCCCCGGTATAGCGTGCAGATTCCCGCGGTTCCCGCGCGGTCGATCTTCCAGTCGCTGGAGACAGTAGCGGGGTGTGACTATAGCGGGTCGTTCGCGATGCGCGCGCCGACGCTGCGGCTCGGCGATCCGGCGTCCGTGCTTCTCACGTGGTCGACGCCGCGACCGGCGCTGAGCTGCTATTCGACGTGTTCACGGAAAGGATGGTGAGGCGACGCGGATCCTACCCCCTCCAGTCCACGCCCCCCGGATGCTTTTCGGCATGGGGTACCCCTCTCCCGTTCCCCACACGCCCCCCCGTCCCCCTGTTTCCCCCCTTCCCTCCCCCCGCAACAACCGCCACGTTTCCCGACATCCCTCGTTCTGTCCGTTGCACGATTCCTCTTTAACTATTCCCCCCAATCCCCCACCCCGCCTCCGCTCCCCCCCTCCTATCCCTCTCTCGCTCCCCTCCCCCTGCCCCATGCGCGCGCAACAGACGACCAACTGGGTGCGCAAGTCGTTCGCGTTCCGCGCGGCGAGCGCGGGGAGCCTGCTGACGTTCGGCGCGGGCCCGCTGAACGGCACCGCTGACGTGGACGCGGGGAACGGCGTCGCGATCGACGCCGTGAAGGTCGAAACCGTCGGATGCTCCTCGCAGTGCGTGCATAGGGGGTGGCGGGGGAGGGGGGGGGATAGGGGTAAGATTGGGGTGGCCTGACCGGTTGCGAATGAGGGGCAGATCGGGTCGAAACCGTCGGATGCTCCTCGCAGTGCGTGCGCCAGTCACGCGGGGGAAAGGGGGAGGGTTGGGGAAGGACGGTTGGAGGGTGAGGGGAGGGTGGGGGGAGGGTGGGCGGACGGTGGGGGAGGCGGGGAGCTTATTTCTTCCGTTCTTTAGAGCGCCAGCACCAACACGTATCGTCCGGTTTCCCAACTCCCCGTGATCTCCCTTTCTCACCTTTCACGTCTTTTCTTCTCCTTTTCTCCCGTTTTCCCGGCCTGGTGTGTTGGATTGTGTTTCAGAGAGGGTCGACTGGCGCTAGAGAGAGCAGAGGCAACGCGAAGGAGGCTAGGAGAGGAGGACGAGAAGGAGGAGGAGGGAGAGGAGGGAGAGGAGGGGGAGATGGAGAATAGAAGAGAGGAGGAGGATGAGGAGTCTGAAATGGGACAAGAAAGTACAGTGGAGGAGGAGGGAGTGAGGAGAAGGAGCAGTGTGCAGGAGGAGCAAGAGGAGGTTATCACTGCAGGGTTCGGAATGAGTGAGGGAGAGAGGAGAGAGATGGGAGAGAGCAGAGAGAGGGTATTAAGGTCATCTCCACCGCCCTCCTCCTCCTCTCTGGTCTCGTCGCTCACTCAGCAGCTACAGAAGGGCCTTAACAACCTCCTCAAGCGCAAGAGGAAAGCCCCTCCCCCTCCCCCTCCCACCAGCACCGGCAGCACCAGCAGCGGCAGTAGAGCGACAGCGGGAGCAGCGGGGGGAGGGGGGGAATGGGGGGACGGGGTTGGGGGGGAACTCTGGGCACTGCGCCCCCCTCTCCGCCCCCGCCTCCTCCCCCGTCTCCCCCCGCTCCCCCCACGTGGTATGGCATGTTCAGTGACGGCCCCACGTGGTATGGCATGTTCAGTGACGGCAAGGCGTTGAACTCCATCCTGATTGACTATAACGCGGATAATGCTGCTGTGTCTGGGAATTCGGTTACCATCACGCAACAAGAGCGACACAGGAGGTGAGAGCGAGGGTGGGAGTGAGGGGGAAGGGAAGAGAGGGAGGGGGGAGGGAAGGCAGAGGGAAGGAGAGGGGAGGGGGGAG